GTGGGATCTGGAAAAATGGAGGAGACCACCTGGAAGTGAAAGGAATTAACAGTGAAACTTTAACAAGATTCCTAAAAGATACATTTTAACTGTAACTTTGTAACAAGATAAGAGAACCCCAGGAAGAGAAAGTGGAAAAAAGAAGCAAGAAAAAACAGCTTTGGATTATTTGGATTACTTGGTGATTTTTGGATTTTTGGCTATCGGATCTAAAGGACTAAAATTAATCGGGTAGTTGTTTAAAAGTTTTTAAAATGGTATCACTCTTGGAAGAATTGAGAATGGAACTTAAAAAACAGAAAGAAGATGCAGAAGAAGGAAGAGGTTCTTTTGGCTTCGTATTTCAATTTTTAGAAATGGAGATCCTGAACTATGAGAAACAACAAGAAATGCCTGTAGAACAAGAAGGGTGGGACAAAGAAGAAGCCATCTTCAATGACCAAGTATTTCTATGTGGGGAAAAGAAAGGGGGGAAAGAGAGTGAAAAATTTAAGATTTGAAAAAACAACCCCCCAAAAATAGTTTGAAAAGTAATTACAACATTAGGAAGAAACAGAAGAGAGGATTACAGAAGAGAGAATCAGAATTACAGAGAGAAGGGGTCAAAAAGGGAAGGGAGAAGAAGAGGGGGAAGAAGGAAAGGAAAAGAAATTATAAAGGACAGAAACAGGACATAGAGAAACAGGGAAAACGTACAAGGATTAAGGGTATAAGCCTATTTAGAAGACATAGAGATAATGGGTGAAAACTTAATTGAAAGGGGGATTCTGCAAGGGTACGTAAGATAGTATTGTTATATTAGAAATAGAAATGAACTTTGAAAATATGAAACAAGTGTGATTAAAATGATAGATAAAATACTCATTGTAATGTAATGGAATGTTTAATAAATAAATGAAATAAAGAGAATGAGAGAATGAAATTAGGAAAGGAGGGGAACATTTTAATTATTATAAATGTGTTATAAAAATTTAAGTGAAGAATATGAAAGAAACATGAAAAAATTATGGAAATATAAGTGTTCCTAGAAGTATGATACCCTATTGAAAAGAAATGTTAAAGATGTCAAAGATTATAACTAACATTAATGATAGAGCTGAATTGGAATAGAATAAGTATTTTATTTATTATTATATATTTTTTTTCTCTTTAAGAACTTAGTGCGTATTTTAAGAATGTACCAAGCAGAATTCGACTGGAAGTTGTGTGTTATATTGAATGTTATAATTGTAAAGGCATAAATTGAAGTTTAAATAAGAGTTGAATGGATAAAAATTAAAAGATACAAAGGTGTCATACTCCAATTAGTAACTACAGGGAAAAATTTTGTTTAATGAGAAAAGAAAATATGACATTGAAACAGGACAGACAAAAGCATAAATATAATGACTAGAAAGATATTGAAACTTAGAAAAAGATATATATAATTGAATTTAGAAAGGAATGAGATAATTAAAAGTAAGATTGAGAAAACTAAGGGAAGGGAAAAATTATTGAGAAAATGTTAAAATAGTAATAAGATATGGAATAGAACACAAAGATGAATATGAAACTGAATTTGTGTCTGTATGGAGAAGTGATAACCCGGGACCATGCTATTCACAAAAAAAGAAATTTTACTTGTATTATGTTTTGTGAAAACCCAAATAAAATTTTTATTAAAAAAGTGTTGGGGACTTTCACAAGGAGTGGACTGAGGCTGGAGTCAGTGCATCAAGACCCACCACACACAGACAGATCCTGGACATGGGCTTCAAATGTCGTATTCCTCTTGTCAAGCTGCTCCTGAACAACAAACAATGTCAGAAGTGTCTTACCTGGGCTAAAGAAAAACAGAACTGGTCTGTTGATCAGTGATCCAAAGTCCTCTTTTCTGATGAGAGCAACTTTTGCATCTCATTTGGAAACCAAGGACCCAGAGTCTGGAGGAAGAATGGAGAGGCACACACTGCAAGATGCTTGAAGTCCAGTGTGAAGTTTCCACAGTCTGTGTTGATTTGGAGAGCCATGTCATCTGCTGGTGTTGGTCCACTGTGCTTCATTAAGTCCAGGGTCAATGCAGCCATCTACCAGGAGATTTTGGAGCACTTCATGCTTCCTTCTGCAGAGAAGCTTTATGGGGATGCTGACTTCATTTTCCAGCAGGACTTGGCACCTGCCCACACTGCCAAAAGCACCAAAACCTGGTTCAATGACTGTGGGATTACTGTGTTTGATTGGCCAGCAAACTCGCCTGACCTGCACTCCATAGAGAATCTATGGGGCATTGTCAAGCGAAAGATGAGAGACATGAGACCGAACAATGCAGAAGAGCTGAAGGCCGCTATTGAAGCATCCTGGTCTTCCATAACACCTCAGCAGTGCCACAGGCTGATAACTTCTATGCCAGGCCGCATTGAGGCAGTAATTGCTGCAAAAGGGGCCCAAACCAAATACTGAATACATATGCATGCTTATACTTTTCAGAGGTCCGATATTGTTCTATGTACAATCCTTGTTTTATTGATTGCATGTAATATTCTAATTTTCTGAGATTGTGGATTTAGGGTTTTCATGAGCTGTAAGCCATAATCATCACAATTATGACAAATCATGGCTTGAACTATCTTGCTTTGCATGTAATGAGTCTCACCTTTTAGTTTCACCGTTTAAGTTGCATTACTGAAATAAATGAACTTTTGCACGATACTCTAATTTTTTGAGTTTCACCTGTATACAATCATTTCTTCAAGTAACTATAGTCAGATACTAATTTCCTCTTTAGCTTATGATAAAATAGCATCCTGCAAAATCAAAAAAAAAGGATGAGGCAGTGTGAAAATAGGCTGCAGGAGGCTTCAAAATACTGAAGTGCAATCAGTCACATTTATAAAAAATGAATTAGAAGCATTCATGAAAATAAATGACACTGGAGGCAATATTTACATTTCCTCTTAGATAAATAAATCCATAAAAATAGTAATGCTTTTTAAAGACCATCACATTAAGTTTGGTGTATGCCAAGGGATATTTTGATTGATGCTGAGGATCCCTGCTGGGAGACAAGTCTGGCTTGTATGGAGTACATTTTCAACATGGAAATAAGTTATGTGTGTGTATTAAAGCACTGGTGTTTTTATGTATCAGACATTTTAGTTTTTGACTTGAATAAGTGGGAGTTCCGTTCTTTCTGGCTGTGCAACTTGTCTAAAATGGGGAAGATAGAGCTGATTTAAACTAAACAAGTAAAAACATTAAAAGTATTGCTCAGTTTCATAAAATGCCAATTGAATATCCAAGTAACATCAAACAATAATATTAAGTGAGGAAATCCACCTGTTTGCCAGATTTGTCTCCCAGCATCCCTTTTTAGGTCTTAAACCCCCTCCCCCCTGCAGCTTGCCCTTTAAGTCTCTGCAAAATGTGAGGGATCCACTTCCCCTTTATCCACCCCAGCAACAATATCTATTAAAAGGAACAGAAAATTTGATAATGCCTATTCCATTTTTAAAAAAATCTTTCCTGATCATTAAGCAAATTGGCTGGCTGAACTTTTGCTTTGCCAAGGAGCACACTGCAGCACTAAGTGTGGTTATGTTTTCAAATTAATGGGGCAAGGAAGAAATAATTATCTTCTTCCATACTCCCATGACAATTGGGATAATGCTGAAGTACTATGCACTTCGTTTCAGTCTATTTTCCCAAGATTGGATAAGATGTTCCTGCTCCTGAAGTGAAGGTTTGTTTATCTTTCTCTGGGATATTCTCCCTGGAATATATATTTTTTCCTTCTGGCTACTGCTTTGCTTTGAAGACCTAATGTAAGCAGATGTTTATAGCCTAAGAAAGTGAGACTGAATGAATTCTGAATGACTGAAAGAACTCTTGAACAAGGCTTAATATTAATCATAAGTAATATTGAAAGAAATCTTAATAAATGAGTGATTACCCTTCTCTATTTCGTATGGGAGGGGGACAGTAAACAATAACTATATGATGATCTTTATCAGATCAGAGTATTAAACAGAGCCAGAGGTGCCTGGACATAGTTTAGCCTCTGAGTTAGCTGCATTGCTGGTTCAGAACATTTGATAAATTTATCATGATTTTGCTATGCTTGGCATAATATACCCAAGATGGCTGATGATAGCCTAGAAGCCTAGAAGCTATAATAGCAGAGTTAATTCACTGGGGAATGATTTGCTATGCAGAATGGTTTGCTATGCCATCAGCAAGTACTAGAATCCAACAAGCTAACATTAGAAAGCAGATAAAAACTAGAATACTGAAATGCCTTAATTTAGAGCTTATCTGGTTGAATGTAAATCCACATTTTTAAGGGGTGGGGGAATGTGAATGAAATGTTCAACCCTTATAAATGCTCAGAAGCAATCCCAAGGGGAGAGGAGGGAGAAACCTCCGTTTACAGGAAACAAACCCCTAAAGCAGTTCAGAAAGATTCTCAGTTTAGCACAGTACCAAAATACCTATCAAGGATACTATGATCACCAAATGACCTAGAATAAATGGTTAAATAGGTGTTTTTTTTAATGAGGCATCTAATTGAGAGATCTGAATTTGAAAAACCTATAAAAATGAAGAAACTGGAATAATCAGAGTAAAGTAACTTGTCTGAATACCTCTGAGGTAGAAGGGTGGTCACAATTTCAGGAAAACATAGCTACTGTAGCAGGAGACCAATTGCTGTAGTAGACACTTTGTTTCACATGGGATTATTTTTCTAAAATAAAACGAAAGTCAGAATCCCAAAATTAAATAAACTGTTTGACAGATGTTGGTATGTTAAACTGGCATGTATAAATAAATACAGAAGTGTCTTCAAATTTCAAAAGAGACACAAGCCACATTTCTTAGATTGCCTCCAACCTGCATTTCAGTCCAATATTACTAAAGATTAGAATGCCTATACTGCAACAGTACCCCTACCTGAGCAATTATTTCATTGATCTGCAACATTGAGATGATATTTAAACAATTATCTTGTTTCTTCTTTTTACCAGCAACATTTCAAGAAGATTAAATATATTCTTGGGGCTGCTGAATATTGGAAGGTATTAAGTATGTCTAAAATAACTACAGAACTTCTGTTGGAAAGAGCAGTGCCCAAATCTACAAGGCTACGAAAGATCAAAATTTTGAAGTAAGTGTACGTGTGTGTACATAGAACTCCACAAATCTGACTTTTAAGAAAAAGAAAATCCATACAGTATTACTCCTAGTCCCTCATTTTTGTCAATCTTTACAGCAAATTCAGTAGTGATTTTACCCTTTCTCTTTTCCCCCAAAAATTACAGCTACAAAATACATAAATTAACCTAAAGCAAAAGTACAAAATTGAGCATAATATTATGATTTAATTTTGTTGTTGGATATTAATCTTTTGTATGCCACCTAGAATCATTATTGTGAGATGGGTTGCCAGATAAATTATTTAAATAAATAAATAGCAGTATCAACAGCAATCATGACAACTTTCAATTTGAAGTTGATATTATACTCTGTAATAGAGTTTTAATCAACAACAATTCAGTTCTGCTAAATGTAACCATCCATTCTGATATCTTTTCCCAGATTAATTAGTGGGATGATTTTTTAAAAATGAATATTTTAAGAACTATTTTGTTCCTGCTAGTATTCCTGAAATTATTCTGAAATGCAACTGAAAAATCTTCAAATTATGAAATATAGATAATCTTTTATGTGAACAGTGAATAATTAAGGTAACAGTGTTTTTTAAACATTTTAATTAAATTTAGGATAGTACTCTGTTTCACTGTAAATTAATTGATGTAACCTAATAGTCTGTGCAAGTTAGTACAAGTAATCCTTGCTTAACGACCACTCATTCAATGAACTTTTAAAGTTATGATGATGCTTGCACATACCATCAACATTGCACCCCCATGGCCACAGAATCATAATTTGGGCACATGATGACTGGCCTGCATTTTCAAATGTTGTAGCATCCTGTGGTTACGTGATCACTATTTATGACTTTTCCCACCAGCTTCTGGTAAGCAAAGTCAATGGGAAGTTTAGGAAGTTGTGAAATGCAGTCATCTAAAATCCTTGCTTAACAACCTGTGGTCCTAGCTTAATGACTGCTGCAAAAATGCTATTGTAAGTCATCATAGTCATGACTCCAGCACTTTGCTCTGACACTTTTGGTCCCAGTTAAGGTCATTAAATGAGGATTACCTGTTTATGTTTTCATCTTAGAGAGTCTGATGTTTCCATTTTTTTGGATTTTTAACATAAAACAGAATGTTCCAAAATGTGGATGGGATGGTTATCAATAATATATATATATATATATGGAATCATTTCCCCCTCCAGCTTGTCCAAGTTGCAAATAACCACAGAAGATTTGGCGCCACAGTTATTCTCTCATCTCCGCCATCTCCAGGAACTTGATCTCTCTGACAATCTCTTAGAACGGCTTCCTGACAATCTCAGTTTGCCAAATCTCCGCATCCTAAATTGTAGCAACAATCACTTGGAAGATGTGACAGCCTTTCAGCAGTTTCCACAGCTGGAGGAGCTCACCTATGCCAACAATGTATACCTGACAGTGAGTATATCTGGCAGCCAGTAGAAGTTCTGGTCCTTGCAATTACTTCTTCGAGCACTGCTGTCCTCATACAGCTGAAAAGTTGCAGTAAGAGCAATAATTCTAATGCCTTTATGTCCCAGAGTAAAGTAAATTCTGCTCATTTTGGGGGTGTTGGACATTCGCTGGTCTCATCATCTATCCTCAGTGAACAGTATAGTTCATTTAAGATAATTTGATGCTGCAGTTATTCATCTATTTATAACAGTCTTGCCATCATGTTACAGTGTTGTAGCTCAAAATATAAAGGAAAAATTGGGATTTAGAATAGCAATAGCACTTAGATTTATATACTGCTTTACAGTTCTTTACAGCCTTCTCTAAGCAGTTTACAGAGTTAGCCTATTGCCCCCAACAATCTAGGTCCTCATTTTACCCACCTCGGAAGGAGGGAAGGCCGAGTCAACCTTGAGCCTTGGTGAGATTTGAACTGCCAAATTGCAGGCAGCTGACAGTCAGCAGAAGTAGCCTGCAGTACTGCATTCAACCACTGTGCCACCATATTTGATTTCAAACATATGAAAGTATATGAATTGCCTGAAAATACGGGTCTTTAAATGCAATTTAACTCAATTGATTTTCAGTTGCATTTGCTCAGATGTGTTGTCTCTAAATATATGTATAAGTTAAGGGGAAAAGTTGACCTCCCACACTGCTTCCCCATTCCCTTTTAAAGTGAAAGAAGAGAAGAGTTGAAATGTCCACTTCCAGTTTTAGCTGAACTGCCTTCTGAAAATACTTTTGTTAAATATTTACTGATTTCAACATGTAAATGAAATTAAAACAGTTTAAACAATTACATATGTTTACTATTTTACAAGAACAGTTGCTATATTATGTTCTTTAAAAAGGCCGAGAATCTTTCAGAGAAAGTTTTGAAATATCCACCACTAGCTAACCTGAGAGCCTTTGATGAGTATGCATTTAAATAGATAATATATATAAAATTTGATAGAAACAAGTTCTAACAGATTTTGGTGCATTTTGTTATTTTTCATTTTTATATATCAAATTTATTTGCTGCTCAGCTCACGGTTCAGAAGGCTTAGGATTCTGTAGAAAAAATATTTATCATTGAAACAGAAATCTGCACAGAGGAGAGTTGTTTACATCATCTCTTTTAGATTGATCCTACCTTCTTAACAATCCTAACTAACTAATTAATTCAGATTAACTGGATCATTGTAAATTCTGGGTGCTGAATCTAAGATGCTCTAGACCAGGAGTTGCCAACCTTTTGGACCTCAGGGACCACCAAACTCATAATTTTAAATCCCAGGGACCTCTAACCTGTTCTGTGGGTGTGGCCTAATTTGTGGGTGTGGCTTGGTGGTCATGTGACTGGCTGGGCATGGCTTGTATGTAAATATTATAAATATAAATATAAATACTGATTTTTTTATAAAAAAAAGAGCAACTTTTACCCAAAATCAGGCAGGCAGATTGAGTTGCTCACAGAATCACAGATTCATTCAGAGATCTATCTGCCATCGGCTGGCTCAGTCTGTCACATAAAATTTGCTTGGAAGCAAACTCATAAAATTTGCTAGCAAGCAAACTCACAAAATTAACTCACAACGCACCATGTATGTAAATATTGAATTTTTTATTAAAAAAGAGCAACTTTTACCCAAAATCAGGCAAAGCAGGCAGGCAGATTGAGTTGCTTACAGAATCACAGATTCATTCAGAGATCTATCTATCTGCCATCGGTTAGCTCAGTCTCTCAAATTTGCTTGACATGAGTCTTCACTGAATAATAGAACCTTCAGTCCTAAGAGAGGTTCGGCTGTGCTTAAAAGCAGAGCCGAAGATCTAAAGACTAGCTAGAAAGCAAGAAATCGAACCATTTCCTGCTTCCTAGCTAATCTAAATCTCCCGGCACAGCAGAACAGCTGATGGTAGGAAAAAGGAAGAACAGCAATTTAGCAGGCAAGTTTGCCCGGTAAGGAGTGAGTGGGTGGGAAGGGTTCCCGCGGGCCATGTGGGCTGCGCAGCCTTGTGTTTCTGCGCAGCCTGGATTAATTTCTTTGGGGGGATGCTCTGGAGGTGAGATTTCTCTGTGGCCCACCAAAATTTTCTCACGGCCCCCCAGTGGGCCGTGGCCCACCGGTTGGCAATTGCTGCTCTAGACAGCAATAGTGTTGGACTGAGTTGGACTGTAGGAGCTTACCACATGAAGATTTTGCTTTCAAGACTTCTTTTAAGACAAGACTACTCTTTTTTTCTCTAGCCCAGTGATGATTATAAGGTTATATTTCTTTTGCAAAATCTCCGTCAGTTGAATGGCAAAGACATCACCAAGCTGGCCAATCATGTGAGAGTCGTCAACAGTCGAGAGCTAACTAATAGAGTAAGTGACGAAGTATGAATAATTTCTTAGATGGTAATCAAAAGTTTTACAGCATTTTTAAAGATGTTAGAGGAAATTAGTGAAGTGAAAGTGATTTCCTTTTTTTTATAAATTTGAAGCTTTTTAGTTGAAAGAGTAGTATAATAGTGATTTAGATAAATATTTTGCTCATCAATTTTGCAAAATTGAACTATAGCTTTGACTTTCATATGTGTATTAGAACATTGCTAATCAGAAATATACATACAATAAATGAGAAATTTTCATTTTCTTTCCATGCCTATAAAAAGCTAGAAGCATGTTGAAAGCATAAGAAACATGTTGACTGCTTTTGGTGTCCCATTTTTTATTTGGTTTTTTTATGCAACTAACAATGTAATTGCTTTGTGTATCAATTTAGGTATAAATTTTAACCAGTACTACCTTCCACAAGTGCCTTTAAACTTATTCCTTCCTCTCTTGTATGTGAATTTATTTTTCTCCGCAGAACTGCCACGAGCATCCATGGATTGGGAGGTGCTCCAGTCTCGCATCATACAGGCTGAGCTATAATTGAGGGAACGCCCTCCTCCTCCACGTGACTCCTCCTTGCGTTCCCCCAGTTTTAGCTCAGCCTTCGACGAGACAGGCAGCTAATTCTGTTTCATTGGCCGTTTCAGGTTCCTATTATCGCTGATATCAGGTTTGCTATTTTTCTAAAAATCCTTGTTCCTTGCGTTTTATGGTGTGGTCTAAATTGTTGTCTTAGCGAGATTTCTTGCACCGGAGGGAGCGTTTGGGGGAGTTGGACTTTTGCCCCCCCCCTCCTTCTTCTCTGCCTGCTCCAAACCGCGCTCCTTGGAGCCGACCGTTTTTTTCTTTTTCTGTTGCTTATCTTTCCGATCGTTGCGTCTTCCCCCCGCTAACGCTATCTACCAGCTCTTCTACCTTTTGCATTCCGTTTTTTTGAGTTAAGGGCTGGTGTGTCTCTGGGCTTAGCGCCATTGCGGGCGGCCGTTTTGGGCTCGCCTCGTGGTCGGCGCCATTTTGAAAATTTCAAGTTGCGTGGTTCCGATAGTCCTTAGCGTGATTAATAGGCCGCGGGACTCTGATTTTAACGAGAATACCGTGGCTCCGTGCCCTGTTACTCTCTTCTGATTTCTCTTTACTGTTGGTGTTGGTCTTTGCCCGCAACTCGCCCAGAGACCCAGGCAGAGACCTTCCAAGTTCGCTGGGAGGCTGCCGTTTGAGGCCTTCCTCACCCACCATCTTTTTGCCTTTTTCCGCTTGCGCAAGCGATCCTCCCCTCTGTATATAGAAGGATTAAATTGTTTTTTCTTTTAACAGGCCTCAGCGTTACATTTGGCTTTTCTTGCACAGTTTTATAGTTAGTTAATCATTTAGTAGTTTTTATTTCATATTTGCCTATCTTGGGCTCCGCCCCCTTTTTTTCCTTATATATTAAAAAAAATAAAAAATAAAAAATAAAAAAAATAAATAATAAATAAAATAAAAAATAAAAAATATAATAAAATACATCAATAGAAATAAAAAAATTAAAAATTAGAGTAGATAGTTATTTAAGGGAAATTTCCCTTTTTTTCTTCCAAAAGGGGGACGTGACCCAACTCAGGAAAACCGGCTTAGGTGATAGGCCGATCTCCTAGGCGCACCAACCGCCTCTCCTATTTGTTTGGTAGCATGGCAGAGCGCAATCCTAGTGGCCCTTCCTTAAAGGCCAAATCCAAAACCCACTACTTGCGCGCAAGGGACAAGGATTCCTCCAGTGCCTCCCAAAGGGACGCCTTGCGACGTCATAAGGCTCTGGAGAAGGAATTCAGCAAACGCTCTAAGGACTCGCCTTCTGTAGCTCTTGCCCCTCCCTCTCTTGCTATTCAGCCCCCTCCACCGGGGCAGTCTTCCCCCTCCAGGTGTAGTTCCACCCGAAGTCTTCAATCCCCTCGTGTCCCTGAGGCAACCTTCACGCCCACTGCAGCGGGCCTACGGAGCGAAGACCCGGCCTCCTCTGTTATTCCTGACAGTATCAAGGAGTGGATGCAGATCGCCATCCGTCAAGGGATCGCTGAAGGCATGCAACAATTGGCAAGGCCGGAGACTCAAGGAATGGCGCCTGGATGTGCATCCCTGCCCACCAGACCTATCGCTGGATCGGCATCACCGCAGGGACAGGTACCTCTCCAATTGGAGAGGTCCCATGCCTGGAGTGTGAGGAGGCCCTGGTGGAGGAGGAAGGGGATTTTCGGTCCTTCGGGGATGAGGAAGGTTCCGATAGGGGGTCACTTCACTATTCTGAACCCCTATTTGAGGTGGACCCCATGGAGGGGGAAATGTCAGAAGAGGAGGGCATTTCCCCCGAACAGCCGGCTATAGTGGGTTTGTTCAAGCCTCAGTTATTTAAATCCTTACTGTTTAAGGCTAAAAATATCTCAGGTCTCCTTCCTCAGTCCGCCTCTGAGTCGTCTCCTGCTACCCCAGGGGGTCAAGAAGACGCCATATTTAGTCATCCCATCGTTGAGACTGAGGTGATCCCCACCCCCCACCCCCCGATATCCCCCGATCTAGTAGCAAGACAGCTGGCATCGACAGGCCCTTCCCCCGCTCCCTCTAATCAGGACAAGAGGTTGTTCAATCTCGACCCGGAATTTTCAGCAATGCTGGCTACTCCAGAGGTTGACGATCCTATCATCAGATTGGCCTCTTCTTCTTCCAATCCCACTGATTCCTTAGAGGCGCTTAAACCGGAGGATAAACGGGCAGAACTGGCGCTTCGGCGAGCACACCAATCAGACGCCTGGGCCATAAGATCGGCCACAGCGGCCTCCTTCTTTACCCGCTCTTCCATAAGGTGGCTTAAGCAACTAAAACAGCATGTCCCTGCTTCTAATACAAGAGCCCAGCAGGACATCGCCAAGCTCACGGCCGCGGCGGAGTTTGCAGCTGATGCCACTTTTCACTCCGTGAAGTTCTCGGCACGAGCCATATCCTCCCACGTGGCTGCTCGTCGGCTACTCTGGCTACGGCAATGGCACGCCGATGTGAAGAACAAGTCAAAACTAGCCTCAGCACCCATTTCAGGGGGTAAGCTATTCGGCCCTGCCCTAGATCCATTGCTCATGGAAACACGCAATAAGAAGAAGTTTCTCCCATCCATTTTGCGTAGATCAGATGCCAGAGGGTCCCAGTCCTTTCAGAGGGGCTCCTTTCGCCCCTCCTTCCAGCATTCCTTCACTCCTACGTATCAGACCTCGCAGCCCTTTCGTCCGGCCTATCAGGATAGGGGGGACTCAGGTGACAGAGGCAGGAGGGGAGGAAATTATAGGAGGCCCTTCAGAGGTTCAGGAAACAGGGCGTCCCGAAGACCCAAGTAGTCCTTCCGTCTCCTTTCCCATTGGCGGTCGCCTCAAGCATTTTGCTGACCAATGGGTAGCATCCACCTCGGATGCTTGGGTCAGAGACACTGTTAGATTTGGTCTCTCCCTTCAATTTCATTCCCCTCCTCCACATCATTTTATGGTTTCTCCCCTATCCAGAGACCCGGCTAAGCGGGCGCTTATGTCCTCAGCTATCCAGCATCTTACTGACATTAGGGCTATCCAGCCCGTACCTGCCTCGGAACGGGGAGAGGGGTTCTACTCCCTCCTCTTTTTAGTCCCTAAGCATTCAGGAGGCTGGAGGCCCATTCTGGATTTGAAAAGACTCAATCGATTTATTACCAGACACAAATTTAAAATGCACACCCTTCAATCCATCTTGCAAAGTATTAGAAAGGGAGACTGGATGACTTCAATAGATTTGTCCGAGGCTTACCTCCATATTCGTATTCTCCCCTCGCACTCTAAATTCTTGAGGTTTTGTTATAATCATCAGCATTTTCAGTATGTGGCTCTTCCCTTTGGACTGGTTTCGGCCCCAAGGACCTTTACTAAGGTGTTAGCAGCTCTAGCGGCCCACCTCAGACATTTCCCAATCCGAGTTCATTGTTACCTTGATGATATTTTAATTGTTTCACCCAACCGAACCCAAGCTACTCGTGACACTGCTACCACCCTTTCGGTGTTGCAGGACCACGGTTTCCTTGTAAACTGGGAGAAGAGTCAGCTCATTCCTTCCACTCGTATAGCCCATTTGGGAGCCATCATTGATTCGGTTAGGGAAAAGGTTTTCCTTTCCCACGATAGGTTCATCAGCATACAAGCCTCCATCAGGATCATTAGGCAGTCTGGTAGGGTCTCCTTGCTTGATTTATCCAAGCTACTGGGGAAGCTCGTTTCCTGCATTTCCATTATTCCATGGGCACGTTTGCATTCTAGGTCGTTGCAGTGGTTCCTTCTGCCGTACCAACGTTCCGGACGGAGCAACTCCAACATCAGGGTGCGGGTCCCTCCAAGAGTCCTCGCCTCCCTTCTATGGTGGACAAGACCTTCCATCAACAAGGGCCATCTGTTCAAGGATCCTCCAAGAGTCACGCTCACTACAGATGCCAGTCTTTCAGTATGGGGAGCACATCTACACTCCCTTTCGGCCCAGGGCGTTTGGTCGGCCACCGAACAGCGTTGCAGCATCAGTTGGTTGGAGCTTCACGCAGTGTATTTGGCCCTGAAGGCCTTCCTACCTCAGGTACAAAAAAGACACGTGTTGGTCCTCACCGAAAACACCACAACCAAGACACATATCAACCGCCAAGGGGGCACTCACTCTCTTCGCCTGATGAGGGAAGCCGAGCGTCTGTGTCGCTGGTCAGAAACACATCTTCTATCCATCAAGGCGGAACACATTTCGGGAGCCTCGAATGTGCACGCGGATTGGCTCAGCAGAGCCGTGTTGGACCACGCGGAATGGCGCCTTCATCCTCTTCTATTCAAGGAGGCAGCGACCATCTTCGGCCAGCCTCTGGTAGACCTATTCGCTTCTCCGCACAACGCTCAGACGCCGAGGTTTTTCTCCCGATACCCAACCAACGGAGCAGAGAATTTCGATGCCCTGCGTTGCCCTTGGCCTCCCGGTCTTCTGTATGCCTTTCCTCCTCTTCCGTTAATCCCCAAGGTGATTCGGAAACTGGTTCTAGAGAAGACGGAGATCCTCCTGGTGGCACCGTATTGGCCCAGGAGACCATGGTTTGCGGACCTTCGCGACCTGTCGGTGGCCCCTCCATGGAAGATTCCACCGGACAAAATCTCTGTTCCAAGGCCCTCTCCTCCATCCAGATCCACAGTGGCTACAGTTAGCCGTTTGGAGGTTGAGCGGGAGAAGCTAAAGGCAGAGGGTCTTTCGGCCCAGGTCATCGCTACCATTATGGCGGCTAGGCGTCCTTCCACCACTCGCATTTATAATGCAACCTGGAACAGTTTTTCCAAATGGTGCCGCCTATCTTCTATCAATCCGCTCTCCCCTTCCGTGGCGCAGGTTCTGGCCTTCCTGCAAGACGGCCTGGACAAGGGCCTTTCCCCCCAACACTCTGAGACGACAGGTCTCGGCTCTTTCAACGGTGGTGCCTGGTGACTCTTCTGCACCACTTTCCCACCATCCTCGTATCAGGGCCTTTCTCAGGGGAACTTCCAATCTGCGCCCCCCAATGGTTCACAGATATCCGACTTGGGACCTTAATAAGGTCTTGACGGCGTTGACTAAGCCTCCCTTCGAGCCTCTCAGGGAAACCTCGCTTCAGTTCCTCACCTTTAAAGTGGTGTTCCTAGTGGCCATTACTTCTGCAAGAAGGATATCTGAAATTGCAGCCCTATCCGTCAGAAAGGACCTGTGCATTTTCCATCCTGATCGGGTGATTTTAAGACCTGACCCTGTCTTTATGCCAAAAATTAACTCGGCATTTCACAGAGCACAGGAATTGGTCCTGCCTAACTTTTGTCCGAAGCCTGTATGGGAGAAGGAACGTCAGTGGCACACCCTTGATGTGCGCAGAGCCCTCCGTATATACATCCATCGAACTCAGCCTATCAGAAAGTCTGAGTCACTTTTCCTTTCCTTTCAGCCGAAGACGCTGGGTTGCAAAGTCTCCCCGTCTACTGTAGGCCGATGGATCAGGGCTACCATTTCTAAGGCCTATTTGGCCCAAGCTCTGCCGGTTCCTAGTGGAATCACTGCTCACTCTACTAGGAGTGCGGCTACTTCGGTAGCCTGGGCCACTCAGGCTTCCATCCATGACATCTGCAGGGCGGCCACCTGGGCTTCCCCATCTCCCTTTATTCGACACTACAGAATTGACACTTATGCCTCTGTGGAGGCATCCTTTGGTAGGCGAGTCCTTCAACAGGTAGCGAGAGAGCCAGAGGAGATTCCGACCCAGACGGAGTCCCGCCCGTAGGACAAACAGGCTTTGGTATGTCCCAATCCATGGATGCTCGTAGCAGTTCTACGGAGAATGGGCGTTGGTTCTTACCTGATACGCCTCTTCTCGTGGAACTGCATAGAGCATCCATCCCCACCCTTCTTTCTCCGTCTGGTAGGGGTCCTGTTTCGGCCAATGATCTTGTTATTATTGTTCAGAGTTGATTTTTTCTAGTTAAGTTAGAGGATTATTCTTGTGCTCTCGTCTCCGTAAAACTGGGGGAACGCAAGGAGGAGTCACGTGGAGGAGGAGGGCGTTCCCTCAATTATAGCTCAGCCTGTATGATGCGAGACTGGAGCACCTCCCAATCCATGGATGCTCTACGCAGTTCCACGAGAAGAGGCGTATCAGGTAAGAACCAACGCCCAATTTGGAAAAATACTCTTAATTTTTCCATTAATAGGCTCCTAAAATGCAATGTTTCAACATTGAAATAGCTGCCAAAGAAATATGAAATGCATTATGGATATTAAACATTTAGTTATTGTGATTGATTGATTGATTTAGTGGGTCTATATGATTTTTTTTTATTCTTAAGCTAACAATTGCTTTTATAATCAAAATACAATAACAATGTTTGGGAAATTTTTATAGAAATTTCGCAGTACAAAAACATTATGACTGGCTGAGATTGTAAAATTGACCACTGATGAAAAACAAAACCTTGTCTACTCTATTTCCATTAGGAAACTACTTTGGGACTTTTTGCTCGAAAAGGATTGAAATAAAACTCTGATTTTGGATCCGATGATTAGATCTCTTTTTACAGAAACATTGTGGCATTGTTATTACTTTTGTTTGTTATGTATGTCTTACATGTTATGCTTTTATTTTTGTTTAAACTTCGAGTAAGACATTATTTTATGGTATTATATATTTATATCTGTAGTAAAGAAATCGGAAGTTAATCTTTTTCTAATGCTAATCAAACTAGGAGTCTTCTAGTCCAACCCCCTGCTCAAGCAGGAGACCCTATACCATTTCAAGTGGTTGTCCAGTCTCTTCTTAAAAACCTCCAGTGATTTTACTATTTCATAGTAAGTTTTAGTAAATCATTTGATATCTTTTTTCTTGTTAAATATTTAATTCTTTTTCATGCTTTTCTTTTTTTTCCTAACTTTTTATATTCTTTATCAGTTTTTGAAATTCAACAGAGGGATATTTTAAAAAAGGAGAACTAGTAGTTAAAAGATAGGATGACAAACACGATTAGATTAATATGGATCTAGAAAAAACCGTTTCCTGAAGTATCCATGGTTGAGGTTAATAAAGTCAAGATGCTACCTGCAACTCTAAAATTGAAAATCCACGGCATTTTAAGATGTGGAACATCCGCAATGCACATTTAGAAAAGATGGAATCTTGATTATATGGCTGTAGTGCTATCTTGATTTTTATTTTATTTTATTTTTTGTGCACCCTGTGGATGCTTCTATTTTTTTGTTGCTACTTTATCTGCTGGACACTTGAACAGAGTGTGTTAGCTAAACATTTCTAACATTGCATCATGGAAAGTTTTGTATAGGACCATGTATGGCTTCCCAGATAACTTCATTATATGTCTGCCTTTTTTCTAGGTCTCTGCTCATTGGGGAAAAAATTTTCAAAACCAGATGCCTAAAACATTGTCTTCTGAACAACTGAAGCCAATTAGAAAAAAGTTCATCAGGTCTGCACAAGCTCATGTAGCATATGGTCCCAGCTCACTCAGCGATTTCACACGTTGGAGGGTAAATTCAGACTATGAATTGTTTGCAGTCTTGTCACATAGATATGTAGAATTTTGGTCAGTAGATGACATTTAGAAAAAAGTAGCGCAGCAAAGCCAGAGTGTTTAACCAATATGATAGCTTTGTGAGACATAACCTTCACACATGAAATCAAGACACCACTAACTGGTGATAAGTCAGAACAAAGCTTACAGTAGTTAGAGTTAGCATTAGTGTTAGAGTTAAGGCTTTTTTGAAGTCTACACACCTTAAAGTTGCTGAGGTTGAGAGACACTATTCTAAATTCCTTTCCTATTATAACAATTTCACAAGTCTGTATTCTCTTATTTTAGGTGAAAATGATTGCTGAGGAATTCCTCACTTCGTTGATTAATGAAGAACATAAGCCTGCTACAGAAACAGCAGCAGAATCAATAGAGGAGCAAGAGGAGGAAGAGGAAGAAGAAGAAGAGGAGGAGGAGAAAGAAGAGGAGGAAGAAGAAGAAGAAAAAGAAGAAATTAAAAAAAATACCACGGAGGCTGACAAAAAAGTTACTGCTAAGGTCAGAACTCATGAACTTCTTTGTTGGACCATCTCAATCAAATTCAGAGATCTTCCATCATTAGTTCTGGATAGGAATATGTTGTCCCATGTGAATGCTACAGAGTTTGGGAGATTTCCTGTCCTTGAACAATTTAAACCATTTTTCCAATGCAAGCAGTACAATAAAATATCCTCTCTTTTAATGTTCCCCTTTAATAATGTTTCCATCGTTTAGGAAGCAATCCCCATCAAATACAGGGAAATCTGTTTGGAAGTATTGTTTCACACATGATAAACTACTCTCTGTAAACCACATGTCTTAATGCAGTAAGTGAAGCTAATCTATATGACTTATGTCAGGAAAGGATTTTGTGCGTATTTTATCATAGAAAATTCATTCTGGAAGGAAGGTTGTAGCATTTTTTTCCCCAGTGCTGTGTAAGAGATATAATTTTGCAGTTGCCAAAATGGAATTTTACACCAAAATGGAATGGCTAGAGAGAAGTTCCCTGAAGGTGGGCTCCAACATAAATCTGAAAGCTCAGAAGACAAAACTTCTGGTCCCGGTGACCGACCCAAATTGGATCCATGGAATTTTATTATCTATTTATCAAATTTTAAAACCACTCATCTCCCTCGTAGAGAGACTCTGGGCATGTACAGATAAAATATCAAATTATAAAAACAGTATATACAATGTAAAATTTAAAAAGGCAAGAGTGAATTAAAAATCTGTGAAAGTTAAAAGGCAGGGGGAAGGATTTTTCAAGTACTAACCAGCCTCCCAGCTGCAGGCTCTTATGTGAGCCCTAAACTAAGCCGCCGAGCCCTTTTTTTACTCCTTTTCTGGAAGGCCAAAAGAATGGGGGGCCCTCACTTCCAGGAGGAGAAAATTCCACAGGCTGGGGAACGGCTGAGAAGACTCTCTTCCTGGATTCCACCAGTTGGAATTCTTTAACTGACAAGTCTGCAACATACTTTTCCTGCCTGACTGGGTGGGACAGCCCAATATCATGGAACAAAAATGGTTCTAAAGATAACCTGGCCCATGCCATGTAAGGCTTGAAAGGTCGTAACCAACACCTCGAACTGGAACCAGACGTAAACTGGCACCCAGCACAGCTTGCACAGTAAAAGTATTACATGAACCATTCTTGAATGCCTAAGATTACCTGTGAGACCGCATTCTATATCAGCTGAAGCTTCTGGATATTTTTCGAGGCTGGCCCCATGTACAGCATACTGCAACAGTCTAGTGGATTATGAATGGATTATTTTCCGTTAATGCCAGTAGGAAAGGTAACAGTGGATGGTGCTGTCTCAGATGTGAAAATAATATTCATCTGATTGGGGGATATTGTAGATTTAAGCAGAAGTCCAGGCAAATTTCTCTGTTGGGAAAGTTACCTTGCACAATTGAGATTACTTTGACAATAACATGTTGAACATTGCTGATTTTTATTTTTACTAGAGACCAGTAACTCCCAGCAAAAGGAAAGGGGCTCGTTCCAAAGGAAGAGCAAAGAGCAAGAGATCCCATTCTCAAAGCAGTTCCAAGGAAGAAGCATCACCCAGCCCCAAGAAGCTCAGCCGCTTGCAGGATGAGCACAATACTGAGGCCACAAAAGCCTCTCGCACACAGGCCAAGGAATCCCAGACCCCTCCGGATCCTGACGGAGCCCATCGGAATGGAGGGAGGCTTCCAAAAGCACAAAGCTACAAAAAGGTCACTCAGCAGAAAGAAGAGCACAAAGAGGAAGAGGATGAAAGAGATGTTTGCAGCACTCCAGTGAAGGACTTGGAATGTGAGGTAACCCATTTGCTTCCACTGTCAAGGATATATATAGTATATTAACTCTGCGAGTCACTTTGTTATATAATGATGTGGCAAAGGGCTACTTTAAAAAGCTTGACTTTAAAACATGGCTGTGTTGTGCACCTAACTAGATTTTAACTCCATCCAGAAAACCTATGTTTTGTTCTACGTATCACGGGACATTGTGTGTTCAAAGCTTTCTGCCTTCTTACAGGAAACAATTACCCTCGAACCGGTCCATTTTCTACAATGTCATAGTAAGGCCAACAACAGGGATGACTTCAAGACCCAATTATGGGCCTGTGTTTTTGAGCCACCGCTAGATTGTGGGACGAGAAAAGGTGAGCATGGTCTAGTGGCTTGGGCTGTCCTAAAAGAAAAATGCCAGTCAATAAATCTGATTACAGGAACACTAATTCTTCTTGTGAATTCTGAATTTTTATGCATATTGTTCCATAATTTTTACATGTTTGCTTTTTCCAGAAACTTGCTTATTTGCATTTCAAATATGAAGGTGTATTTGTATTTCAAATACAGGAGCTGCTATTTTTCAGTACATTTATAATTCATGGTATTCCAGTAGTAAAGAAATTGCAGTTGCCATGTGGTGATCAGTCTGGTGCCCACTCCTAATTTAATAAAAATGCAAAGAGACAGAACCAAATTAGGACTTAAAGTTTTTGGCGAAGGGCCTAATTCTAATGTTATATGTTAAAAGAGTATCAGGCTTGTCTGGGAAACTTTACTCTTGCAGTACAGGTAGTCTCACTTAACCACCACAATTGGTATTGCCAACTCCATCGTTGAGTCATTAAGTGAGATGTCATATGACTGCAACTTGTAATGTCACTGCAAATTTCTCTATTGACCCTGCTTGTCAGAAGCTGGTTGCAAAGCATGTAAAGGCAATCATGTGATCATGGGACACCATGACAGTCGTAAACATACACTTGTTACAAAAGACTTGAATCATGTGACCATGGAGATGCTGCATGGATTGTAAATGCAAGGACTGGTTGTGAAATTACTTTTTTAGCGCTCTCATAACGTCAGACAGTTACTAGCAGGACAGTCATTAAGTGAAGTCTACCTGTATGAAGAATAAACTGGCCTACTAAATTGAGTGTAGTAATGCTTGATTCACACTTATAAAAGTACATAGATAATAGGTATGGAATATACACATCGTAAGTATTTGAATATCTTTCACTTCTACAGCAATTGAAAACAGGAGGCTTATGATGACAAGAGGATTACAGTCACTGTGCTTTTATCTTTCAGACCCTGTGGTGAGCTCTTCTAGGACAGCAGCTACCTGTGGCGGAGATTCTGTTTGTTTGGTTGACTGTGAAACAGGCATTGTTTTGAAAAAGTACAAAGTGACTGGGGAGGTAAGGGAAACACAATTGCTCTCGACTTTCTGCTTTTTATTTAATGGGACATTGATCAAAAGTTTTATTAATGCAGTGATGTCCCTTAATGCACCCCACGACTTAACACTGCAACTGTGTTGAATTCTATTCTTCAAAATACCTGAATTCTATAACTATAAAGCTTTCTGTTGAATTGAAATTTGTCATCAGAAGAGTGGCAGGATGCTGCTAAATTATAATCAGAAAATCTTTAAAAAGCGAACGTGAGTAAACTATTATCCCTTCCCCCTTACAAATTCAGTGCAGTTTTTAACAGGTTTGTGTATAAGTTAGAATGTTTGGACTTCCAGGGGAAAAAATAGCAAACTGAAGATATCTCCGCAAAAGGTAGATCGAATGACTGCGGCAGAATAAAGAATCAGCAAGTAGACACGCTCTTCATAATTCCTCTCCTGGGTGAGGAGAGGACGTGATCATCCACAAGTGCTCCAGATAGTTACTTCTTGTATAGAGACTACAAAATGGCAGTCTTTGGAGAGTTTAGAGCTCTGACTGATGAGGGAGATAATCATCTTGCTCAAATGATGGTTGATGGCATTGAAAGGTCACTATATTCACATATTTCATTTTCTAATCACTTTCAGAAATTGCTTTTAACTGCTTCTACTATTAGGAACCTTGCTGTGGATAGATAAGCCTGAAAACATTAGATGAGTTTCCTTCAATCCTTAGTGAAAGATGTTTAAACACAAGTTAAGGATTTTTTAAAAAAGTTTTTCAATAAACAGCAAAAAGGTGATTAAAAGTTTAATTTTGGAAAGTTACAAATGGAATAAGTATACAGTTATAGGATGAAGCAAAATATTTTAATGTTGAACATATTAAAAGATATTTTTGAATAATGGACTTGAGTATCTGTCTTTAGATTGCATCAAAAAGACATTATGAAGGAAGAAAGTTCTTTCTGACAAGACCAGGCTGAGTTGAAACTGAATTTCTACAAGAAATGGAAAAATATGCTATACCGAACATGCAAAATAATCCAGTTGATGTCTTAATAATTAAAAGGGATATATGTATAACAAACCAAGAGATACCTGGATATGCAAACCTGGATAATTTTCCTGTATTGGATTTGCAGAAGAGTCTGGTTAAAGCTTTGAAAAAAATTGTGGGGTGGGGCAAAGAAAAAAGGAAAAGAAATCAAGTTCTATTTAAAACATTATTTAAGGGGATTAAAAGACTGAAATGGCAAGGGTTTGTTTAAAAAGAGATGTGGGGAAAAGAGATTATTTGTTATACGGTATTTTAAGAGAAGATAATCTACTAAAATTGTTTATATTCTCATGACGGGAGAAATAACTACTTTATGTTCTTCTTTTGCTTTATTACATTCTTAGTTTTCTTTCTTATTGTTTTTTCTTTTTTATGCACTTCTATTTTTTCTTTTTCCTTTTGGTTTAGTTTTTTTAAATCATTGTAAGGGCAATTTTTTCATAAAACTACTGTTAAAAAAATTGTTTGGTGCCCATGGTTGTTTTTATCCAAGTCTACCTAAACTTCTAGTCTTGCATGGCTTCCTCTTCACCAATACTTTTTCACCAGGAGTTTTACACTGTCACATGGACAACTCTGACAATGGTAACAAGTGATGGGAGAAAGAAAAAACACAACGTTTTGGCTGCTGCTGGGAGAAGAGGAATCGTAAAGCTAATTCATGTGACTGCCGATTACTGTTATGGAGAAATCAAGGCTCACAAGAAACCCATTGCTACTGCTTGCTTTAGTCCAACCTGTGAAACGCACCTTTTCAGTAAGACACCTTATGTTCTCCCATCACTCATTTCTTCTCAGCAGTCCACCATTTTTGAGTCAAGGCAAGAGCAGACTGCCTTGCTTGGTCTGCAAGTACAAAGATTAATAAGCTAAATCTCATGTTGTCATCTTTGGAAATAGCTGCAATATTCTGGGGTTCTGAGTTTGAAGGAGGTGGGTCTTATTTTCTTAATTTGTTATTTGGAAGCCTATATTTTTATTTCATTGCATCTCTTTTTTCTCTCATCTGTCTCCCAACAGCTGCCTCCTATGACAAAAAAATATGTGCATGGGACATTGGAATTCCAGACTGTGACTATAACTTCAAAGAAAGGTAATGATATAGGATTCCACCTTTCACATCTGCAAAGCAATGTTTGCATTAAAAGAAGAGTGACTAAAATGTATTTCATTTGTTAGGCAACTGATGGTACTGGAGACCATTTCCACACCTTTACGTATTGCCTTAGTACCCTCTTGCCCAGATCGGTTCTTGGTGGCTGGTTGCGAACAGGGCTGCTTTGCCTGGGATATTAGACTGGATGATAAGCCGCAGAAAAACAGGTGAGTAGAAGGTGTCTTCCTGGGGAAAATCTAATTGTGTGGCTGCTAAGAATTTATACCAATTTTATGGCATGTAATCAGCTCATGCCTCATATTGGAAAGATAAATTACAAGTAGTCCTTGAATTACAACTGTGAGCCTGGAAATTCTAGTCATAAGTTGTGACAGTCATAAAGCATGTTATCACATCAGCAAACCTGATCTCATAACTTTTTTTGTGGCAGTTGTTAAGCAAACATGGTGGCTATAAACTCATTGTGGACTCATTGTTTGCTAAGGGGCATTCCCCCTCCCCCCCCCAGTGTTTAGTGGTTGTAATTGGGACACTACATCTTTCATCAAAGGCAATTTTTTTGATAAGAGATCTCTTTGATATCAAACTGTCCTTTACAGGTAGGCAAAAATAAAAAGAGAAGTTAAAACTGAAATTATATTTTAAAATTGGAGTTGGAAAAAATAAGTAGCATTTTTTCAGAGAACTCCAAAACTGCATATATTTTTTTGCTACTTATGCAATCCATCTGTGGCTTGGACCCTGAATGGCAAATCAGTTACAATATAACTCTGACTTGTAGTTAGTTATGCCAAATTTAATGCTTTCTATATTCTCCTTACATGTAAAAATGATTAGCCAGCAATGCTAACATCATATAAATGTTTCCAGTTGTCTACTGTTTTTCTAACAGGGGTTGTTCAAGTCTTAGGGTATATTTTTTTCTTCATCTAAATTAATGATTTATCTAGTTAGAGACTAATGGACTGGTCCCAGTGTTCAGCCACTGAACTGTGGTCCAAATTCTGTCAAGATTAACAGTACAAACTACTACAGCCTATGCATTTTAAAGATGTCTATGTGTTATAAAGGTTTAAAAACAATATATTTAATATTAGGGAATTTGCTTACTGTAGGTTAAAGTTACAGTAATTGCTCAATAGATTGATTCTTATTTTATTTTCTAACATTTCAGAGCTTTTGAAGTTGAATTTCAATTTCCAGATGATGAAGGGAATGACACATCTTCTCACCAGGTGGATGGCCTAGCCTTTCTGAATGAAGACATTGTAGGTAAGAAATAAGCATTATGATATGTCTAAGTAAATTAGGGAAATTCATTAGAACATCTTTTTTTTTTTTTTGCATGATCATTTTTTACAAAGAGCCTGTCCCAGGCAAAATAGCAACACATATTCTCAAAATATCTTTTGGCTTAACATGTACATTTAGAAAACAGGGTGGAAGAGGATGAAATGGAAAAACTAAGAGATTAGTATTCCCTCAGAGCTGCTGACCTTGAGTGTAAGGTAAGAATGTTGACTCCCACATCTACATTTACAGAGTAACAATAGAGAAGGAAAATGTTACAATTCTGTGTTAATTCAGTCTGTTGTTCTAGATCAGTGGTTCCCAACCTTTTTTTCGCCCCGCACCCCTAAAGAAATTTCACTCGAACCTCGCACCCCCTGAAATAAATAATAAATAAAAATGCCAACATATAGCCAATATCCTATTATTTACCTGGACTTTTCTCGCACCCCCTGGAATATTGTCTCGCACACCCAGGGGGTGCGAGCACCCCAGGTTGGGAACCCCTGTTCTAGAAAGAATAAGGAGGCTTTGTCCAAACAAGACTTGCATGGAGTTTTTTCCAGGCTGTTCCATGCTTAGTCCAAACATAGAAAATTCTAAAGTCCCTACTATCTATTAGAACTCTTCTATCTTGATCTATTTTAATTTAGAACAATAAATGATACCTGAGAGGAACCTACCATTTTAAGCTAGACACAAGTTTTCCAACTTTGGGAATGTCCAGGACTGTGGACATCAACTCCCAGAATTTTCATCAATCGTCATGGAATTCTGGGAGTTGATATCCATGCTCCTGAAAATTCCCAAAGTTGGAAAAGATTGCTATATGCACATTGGGCCAAATCCACTGAATTCAGTTAATTGATGTAAAAGGCATTTTACAGGATGGGTTGTAAGTTATGAGCTTATAGTCATAGTTGTATTATTAGGGGCTTTATTTTAAGATCACACCATAATTGCCAGAAAATAAATGTTGTGATGCCATTAATATCACACATTTTACTGAGCCTGCTGTGATAATTGCCTTAATGACAATTGCCTTCAACAGTAGCCAATATAGGAAGAAATGCTGATCTAGCAGTAGATCCATTGTTTAGCAAGGCTACTAGTGTTTTTTTTCCCCCTCTTCAGTTACCAAGAGTTCAAAGAGAGCATCTATAAACCTCTGGAGCTGGAGTCGCTCTTTCAAACAAGGCAAAGGTGGGCGGAGGACAGTGCAGGCTGTCATCCTGGCTGAACTGGAATGGTCTTCAACAGATCTTCCTTACCTCACTCTCAGCACATGCCCAAGTAAGTGCTGGTATCATGTCTGAATAGCCATGGATATAGTTCCGTCCACGTCTCTGGCACAAACATGTCCTCTGCCACCATTTTAATCTATTACAGCTGCTATTGCTTATGTTGTCCCCCCAGATAAGCTTGATCAGTTGGGTTAGCAATTTGGGAATGCTATTAAGTAGTAACAGATGATCAACAATGTGTTGTATTTTATGAAATACTGCAGTTCCAGATTAATCTAGGCTTACCTTTGGGGCAGTAGATGATGTTAGCTCCCTGGTTTCAATCCTCAACGTGCCAGGACTCCAGACAATCATTGGGAGAGAGGTGGAGTAAGGATATAGTTGGTAGGAAGGGTGGATGCTGATAAGTGAACTGAGAAGGAGCCCCCAGCAAGATGAGCTTCAAATGTGGAATTCAAGCCTGAACAATTTGGTGATACTTGTTTTACTTTTGCAGCAGAAGAATATGTGTTCTGTGGTGATGAGAAAGGAAGCATCTGGATGTATGACCTCAGCAACCATTTGTCAGCTCTTTGTGCCACCAAGGAAGATTGCCCAACCGAGAGAATAGGGCCTTCCCAGGTATTCAAGGATGTATAGTCCAATATTGGTTGATTTGAGTTATAATAAATGTTTTCATTTCATTTATTCGATTTTGAGGTCACTCAATGCTAAAATGTTCTGGGTAGCTTACAGTGTATTTATTTATTGAATTTATAAATTAAATTTATAAACTTAAAAGTTTAAAGAGCACATGGGTAAGCCTCAGCTTATGACAGTAGTTGTGATCAAAATTTCCATTGCTAAGCAATGCAGTCGTAAAGCATTATGGCATTCCTTAACCATTCCTGCAGTTCTGATTTCCACCATTTATTGAATCCCATGGTTGTTAAACAAGGCAACTTCCTGCCAGGTTTTTACAACCAAGTAAGTTTGTAAGCAGGCTGGCTGGCTGGCAGGTAAGTGGCTGCTAGAGGGTGAAAGGGGGTATGAGGAAAGCACATTGAGGCTTAGGGAGGCACATTGAGGCAAGGGGTGTGTGCAAATGGATAGCATAGCACAAGTGCAGAAGGGTTAGGAGAGAGTGAATGGATGGGGGACATTTACCCCAGTGACTTGTGACCTTCTCTGTTGGCTTCCTGGTTGACTTTCTGGGGAAGCTCCTAAATGGAGATCATGATCCTGGGGCACTGCAATAAATGTGACCTGATTGCCAAACACAGATTATAATCATGTGTCCATAGGGATGCTGGGTGGCTGGAATTCCAAGGACCAGTTATAATCCTCATTCGTTTAGCATAACTTCAGATGATTGCTAAATGATCATTGCACACGTGCTAGCCTTGCATTAATTGAAATTTGGGTTACTCAAACAACCTGGCATCGATTTACAATTTGCACTAAAATAATATTGCATTATTTAAACTTGTACTAATCATGATCTACCTATCTCAACAGTAGACCTTATCTCCTTAACCACCATTCCTACCATTCAGGCTTCATCAGCTGCTGGCCCTGCCATCCCAAATCGGCATTATTTATCTGCAGTACAGTGTGCTGTACTTCATTTAGTTGAAAGAATGATGATCCTCTAAACATAAAAAAAACCTCCCCTTCGCCCTCTGAAAGAAAATTAAAACTCATTCCCTGTACAGCTTTTTCCTATGAGTTAGGTATAGAAGAAGAGGCAGAACCTGAGGTGGAGTCAAGAGAGGACTCAGCCTAGAATCATTATGTCCACAAAAACTCTGTCCAACACCCCCCCCCTGAATTCTATTGATTCTTAGCTAACACCAATTTAGTGCTATCAATTGAGTAGATTCCTGTACAAAGGCATGAGCAATAAATCATCTTAACTGGAACTTAACATATGGTCCTAATTCTTTGCATCTGACAGAGGGATGGGTATGAGAAGATCTCAGCACGGGTACGTTTCTGCTTAAATCAAGAAAAAGTGTTTGTCAATCTTACTAGCTTTAAGATGTACTTACTTTAATTCCCTGAATTCCCCAGCCAATATGCTAAGATTTGACAAACCTTTATATACCCATATATATAAATTTGTCAGGATTAATATAAAGACTCTTAGCTTTTGACAAACATCCATTGCAATTTTAAAGAAAGTAGCTGATCTCCTAAACATTTTATAGTGCAATAATTTTGTGAATCTCATGAGTTTCTGGATAAATTCCCTCTCTTTTCCCACATAGATTCTAAAGTGGCCGGAATTGAAGGCAAATGGCGAGTTGCTGACAGATGTCTTGGTGAACAATGTGGTCACAGATCCCACTTTTACGTATCTAGTCGCGCTGACAGATGTCAACATTGCCGCAATATGGAAGAAAGTCTAGCTGGGATGACAACCCAGAAGGAGCAATCCCATTTTTTCAACCACATTTCAGTAGTGCAGTATTTGTGACTGTTCTGAGAATAATCAGGGTGGGTTAGGGATAGGGATGGGAGTTGGTGGGATGAAATTCATATATATATATATAAGAATTATATATATATCTCAAATGCAAGAAAATCAACCAAAGGTATTGGATGGAACTACATGAAGTTGTTGCCAATGCCGACATCTTTTAACTGTGACTTTGCTTTATTTGTGTCTTAAGTGTATTTGTTTTATAGGACAGTATTTAATAAAACTTGATACAACATAATTGAAACACTTTTTAAGAAATATGTTAAATATATTTACTTAGGCCACTATCTTGAAGGATCTTGGTGAAAGCTACCTATCCCAAGTTTGCATTGTGCAGGCAGGACTGTTGAACCCACTGAAAAGAAATATTCTTAATTGTAGAGTAATGTGGACTTGTATGTACAAGGATAATTTCATTCAGGCAATTGCATAAAGATTCTCCTTTGAGCAAATTGCAAAAAGGGGGAAGCATGAGAACCTTCTTTAGTGAAAACTATTATCTCATAAGGTGCGGACATAAGTAAAATTTAATTTCCTAATTCTTCATCAGCTGACTGTTGGTGTAATTAACTTTGTCTATTTGCCTACTCTTAGGGAACAATGGCTGTTCTGCAATGAATTCCCTACTCCTTTCTGTTATATACAATTGCCTTTGGGGATACCCTGAGGCACAAAAAATATGTGCTTGAAAAAGCATATTGAGTCAACTTCAAGTGGCTACCAAGAGAGAAGGCTGAAGCATCAACTTTAAAAAAAATAGTGACTTCATTCTTCCCACATTTGCAGAACATAATCAGTACTATTATCTAAACTGGAAAAGGGCACCTTATACTCAATGCAGCTGTTTAATTTGGATGATTAGGTGATCTTTTCTTGCGGGGAAGGGTTCTGAGAAGATACATTTCCCCTTATCAATTACATTTTAATAAGAATTTTCTTCCAAATTTTGCCTTCCTTCAGCAGAAAGGCAAGTGATAAGTGCAAGAATTAAATATACATAAAATAAAATGGAGCCAGAACTAGAATAAAAAACCTAAGCCTCATTCAATCCAGAGAGCATAAAGTGTGAATCTCTGGTACTGCATGTAGTAGAGAATGCTACATTTTAAAAAATGTTCAGCAAACTACATGAAAGAGGCAACTAGAATACTTGCACTTAAAACAATATAGGATTTAATTCAAGAGTCAGTTACTTCTCTACCAATACTGAAACGGAAAACTACCCCATCCCCTAGTTAAAATTTCAATCAGATATTGTACATAGACATACAGTTGGCCTGCATAATTTAAAAAGAGCAGTATCTTAGCAGTAAAGCAAATAAGAATTATACCAAGGCACATCTTGAGAAAGCAGAGTAAAAACTATGCATCTGAAAGAAAATCGAGGTATTTCTAATTGAAATGGAAAGCACACGGTATATTGTCAGTTTTAAATCAGGAGGGAATTTCAACAACTATTTTACTATGTTTTTGCTGAAGCTATGAATCACTTCAAAAGAGCAACAATTAAGAAGTATAATTTATTAGCCATCATAAGCCAACTTGAACTTTCATGTAAATGACCTATATTGAAATTTCTTAGATGTTATGTAGCAAAGTAATCATAAATACATTTCTTGTAGACTACTACATTGAAAAATGAATTTTATTTACAAATATATTTGATAAACATTACTACTACTCAATTCCTTCTTGTTTGTCTTTGATGGCAACCTAAGAGAAAAATAAACACATGGTAACTGGAAAATAAAAATAAATAAATAAAATAAAAATCTTGACAATTTCATTTAAGATCTGAGTATAAAAGTATTAAGTTTCCCTTGTTGCAGAAAAGAGCTGCCATTATTCCAAATCTATCTGAACTTCAAAATGCATGAGCTAAACCTAACCAGACAAAATGTATTTATAGCCCACCTTTATTATTTTTACAAATAACTGAAGCCATTTAATTATCCATCATCATTAATGTGAAATTATCTAAGAAGATGCAACATTTTACTTGTGATTTTTCTCATCCTTCGCAGAAAACCAAGCCATCTGAAAAGTCAACACAGCTGTTTAAAATGCCAACTCTTTCTCTGTACCTAATTATTCATGGCAAGCTCCATTACTACCAGAAACACAATTAGATGGAAATGTCACAAAGGACATTCTTAGTTAGGGCAACGAGGATACAAAACTCCCTGCCATAGAAGATTGATACATTGGTTTCTGATGATGTTTGACATCTATGTGACTTTATTGCCCAGAACTCACATATTGGAGGTGGGAATAGATGATGGATCGTGGAGCCTATTCAGATCAAAAAGTATTAACAGGCAATTTTCTTGATGTCTTATTGTCTAACAACTACATACTTGAATGTCTTATGGGTGATAACTCCCAGATTCTGCTTCCCTAGAAGGCTTAACCTGCCTCAATCTCAAGTTTCAATTTTCAGCACCAAAATCCATCTTGCTATAAGGGTAGATGCATAATTCAACGCCCCAATGAAACTTTAAGTATTTAACAGAGCTGAAATATCTCACCTAATTCACAGACATAGCTTTAGGTTTCATCATTCTGCCTTTGGCAAGAAGCCCTCAGCCCCCAAAATCATGTGATTGTTAGGATCCGCTGACTTACCCGGAATCTTTCCTCAAGGAGAGAAAGCTCACTGATGAGATCTGTGATTGCATTGGTAAAAGCTTCTTGAGGGCTGTAATCGGGGGTTGTCTGAACACGAATTATTATTTTATGTTCAAGGGGATGGGGAACTTTGTATCCTGCAAATAACACTTGAGGGTCTTTCAACAATTGCCTGGGGAAAAACAGACAAAATTTTATTGTTAAAATTATAACTGATGCTGGATGACTAAGGGCCAATTAGTCTCAAGGTTCATTTCCAAGACAGCTTTGGAAGCATACAATAACAATGCAAAGAATATGTTTCTTGTTGCTCATTTTTAACAATGTATATTTGCACTGACTGTTGAAGCCAAAATAACGCTATCGATTAGAAAAAGAACCCACTAGTATTGAAAGATCCCAATAATTTACAAGGTTCTACAAAATTTCAAGGGGGAAAAATCAATTAGAAAAAAGAAAACTAATCAATAAGATTATATTGAGTGTGATGATTAAAACATGAAAAGTTTTAGCATATTGCGGAACAGAATTCTGGAAAAAAAGCTAAATATATAAATATGTATGTCCTTCATCACTGTTGTAGATTAAATTACACCACCTCTCCACATGGTCTATATATTCTGGGGTTTTACAAGTAACATTTGGTAGAGATATTGAAAACCTCACTATTTTTTCTGCATTTCTTGGCAGTTGATCAATTTAATTGCATTCATCAATTTTGTAAGAATAAGAATCACTACTACTCACGACTTGATTATATTCCCAAGAGTGTGATCTTCTTTGTTGATTGTAAACAGACAAGCATTTGGCACTTTTGTATCCTTATTTATTGTAATCCTTCAATGAGACAGACCAGGGGGAAAAAGGGGGGCCATATTAACACCAGCTTGTGCAGTCTTCTCTTATACATAATCATGCAACAATGTTACAACTGTTTTATGTAAACCTAGATTATGTTAATCCATCCTAAATAGTTCATGCTAACAGATCAAAACTTTCAAGGATTCTGACAGGAACTTTTGAAAACCTGCAATAGACAAGTTTTACTTTCTCAGGCCAGGCGAGGAAGGGGAGGGCGAGGGGTGGGGCCAGCCAGTGGTAGGATCACCCAACGGAGCCACAGCAGAGGGCCCAAAGAGCCGCATGCAGCTCCAGAGCCAGTGGTTACTGACACCCACCTTAGAGGAAATAAATCTACATGTTTATTTGGGGACAAACAAAATCGAGCAAGTCCTAAAACCTGGTGAAAATCAATTAGCATATACAAAGCCATAATACGCAAATGATAAACCAAAACACGCAACAGATACCTTTACAAAATTTGAATAGTCCTGCCAAATAGATAACAGGAGGAGGAAATCAGAAAAAAATGCAAAATATGCATTCAGAAATCATCAAGAAACTGAGGGCCACACAACTATAAGTTGGGTTCTGTTGTACTGTATTTTCTTTTACATTTGATCATAACCTGTAATGTACAATGGATGTTTTGTGCCTTAGCAACCAAATTTCTGTAACTTTCTAACAGCAAGATAAGAATTTTCTCAGGTGGAAGTAACAAAAAGATATTCAGCTTTATGAACTATTTCAACTGACTGTAACTGTATCGTTTTACAACAGACTCAAAAAGACACTACATCTTTTCCCATGCTAACTTTTTTCCCTACTTTTAAAACCATGCTCATTCAAGTGTCATCCTTAGTATTATGGGATGTTTAGCAAACTGTCCATCTTTCTGATCCAATTGGATAGGATGGTTTTTTTCTATCCACACAACTTTTCTTTTGTATTTCTTTTGTATTTCTGTTGTACTAAGTATAAAAGGTATTCCAAGGATTTGCCCCAGGTTCCTCCTGGTCTCTTATTTCAGAGAAACCCCCTCCCCTTGTCAGAGTAATAAATTGTATTAAATGATTTTCAGACTCAATTGCTTATTAGAGAAGAATGTGCTGAGGCAGAATCTGAAGCCCATTTGGCTATCAAAGCTAATGGATGAAATAAACATGAAGGAATGAAATAAATATGGAAAATATTTACACATACAAATATTTACACATACAAATTTCCAAGAGGCAATATACCAGTATACAGAATCAGAGTTGGAAGGGATGTTGGAGGTCATCTAGTTCAACTCCCTTCTCAGGCAGGAAACCCTATTCCAGGGGTCCCAAAACTTGGCAACTTTTAAGACTTGTGGATTTCAACTCCCTGGGAGTTGAAGTCCACAAGTCTTTAAGTTGCCGAGTTTGGAGACCTCTGCCCTATACCATGCAAATCTCTTGGATTTGCATATGTATTTTCAAAGCCCAGTACATCTATCTAGGTGCCAGCATATTGCTAAGTTTATCTACTCACAAAAAAATTAATGGGGTTGGACCTGATTAGGATTTGGACGAGATATATTTTAGGGTTGCTGGTTAGTCTGGTAAGTAAAAGGAAATAAACATCCAGGAAGTATCCAATGACAAAACATCTGCATTGTTTGCAAAACATTATACAGATGCACCCATGAAATCAACAGATGATGAGATCAATTGAGACCTTTTTTAAAAATTGTGCAGGGTTCGCAGGCATTGATTTTTCAAGATCTTGATGAATTTAACTTGGGGGGGGGGGGGGGAGTAATGGTCGGAGAGAAAGATTCTGGCCAAAACTCCGGCCCTATTTTTTGGCTAGATTTCTACCCCTTTTAAGGGGTAGGCAAGTTGATGCGAGCCGCCTTTAAGTTCCTTAAATCAGGGGTCCCCAAACTTGGCAACTTTAAGACTTGTGGACTTCAGCAATAGAGTGTTCAATGTCTGGAATACTCTACCCGACTCTGTAGTTTCTTCCCCAAACCCCAAAAACTTTAACCTTAGACTGTCTACTATTGACCTCACCCCTTTCCTAAGAGGTCTGTAGGGGGCGTGCATAAGCGCACCAACGTGCCTACCGTCCCTGTCCTATTGTTTCTCTTATTCTTCTTTTATTTTTCTTATATGTACCCATTTCATGTATTCACAACTATGTATACACTTATACTTATTATCTTGTAAACAATTGGCAAATCAAATAAATAAATAAATAAATAAACAAACTCCCAGAATTGCTATGCTGGCTGGAGAATTCTGGGAGTTGAAGTCCACAAGTCTTAAAGTTGCCAAGTTTGGAGACCTCCGCCTTAAATGAATGAAGAAAATCTTCCTTTCAGGAGTTCATGGCATCACGAATAGCCCTCCCACCCCATTTGCTCTACCCTTCCCCATCTTCCCTCTATGAAGGAGTTTGAGATACAGGGGCTAGCACAGACCTCCCCCCCACCCCCACCCTCCTAACCCTTAGGGACGATTTTGGCTGCCTCCCCCCGACCGTTTTCCCTCTCCCACTGACTTTTTCTCCCCTTCGAAGAGTAAAAAGGACTCGAAGGCCGGAGGGGCATTCATACTCCCCACTGGTTTCTCGCAGACGTTTGAGAAATATACTTCCGGGGTCAAATTTCTACGACTCCTTCCGAGTTCAGGTTCCTTCTGCCAATATGGCGACCGTGCATCACCCAGCGGCAAGGAGGACGAAATGCTCCTTCGGGTCTCCAGCAGCAATTTGCCTTTTTCCTCCCCAGAGGCTACGCTTTGGCACCCCCTAATGGACGTTTGGGAGCCTCTTTGGTGCAGGGTAGTGCTGAAGGCACCAGAATAAAACCGGGAGGCGGCGAATTCGAATCCTACTGTAGGCACGAAGCCCGTGGGATGCCCTTGGGCCAGTCTTAACCCTCTCAGCCCTAGGAAGGAAGCGATGGCAAACTGTAGTTGAAATCCTGCTAATAAAATTTGCCTTGGCAGTGTCCTCCAAAAGAATACTATAAAGTAAGGGAAGGAAGAGCATCTCGTGCTATGGGAGGGTTGATCGATTAACATAGTTGGAAGGGACCTTGTAGGCCATCTAGTCCAACCCTCACGCAGGAGACCCTACACCACTTCTGACAAATGGCAGTCTCTTTTTGAAAGGCTCCAGTGATGAAGCTGCTACAACTTCTGAAGGCAAGCTGTTCCATTGGTTGTTTCCCCTTATTTCTAGGTTGAATCTCTCCTTGATCAGTTTCCATCCATTGTTCTTTGTCTGGCCTTTGGGTGCTTTGGAAAATAGCCCCTTCCTCTCTGTGGCAGCCCCTCAAATATTGGAAGACCGCTATCATGTCTCCCCTGGTCCTTCTCTTCACTAGACTAGCCACGCCCAGTGCCTGTAACCGTTCTTCATGTTTTAGCCTCTAGTCCCCTAATCATCTTTGTTGCTCTTCTCTTTCTAGAGTTTCAACATGACAATAGGATTTAGTGCTGGGTTGCTAGTTTTCCTCACACGGCAGCTATTTTTGTGAATAGTCCAGCAGACATTTTGCAGATGCTCAAAACATGTTTTTAAAATTCGAAAAGTGCCTATCAGCCTCAAAGGTTGGTGACTCCTGAGCATTTACCCAGAGGTAGCCAGCAGCTTTCACAACACTGCATTAGTAAAATGACCACATGTACAAGGTGATATTATCATCATAGTGCCCTTATGACTTGTATCCCAAAGTATGACATCAATCAGTTTTCACATTTGTGCGAGGCCATCACATAGATTTTGTCATTTGCAATCCCACCCGCTCCTCTCCATGCGAATATTTGGCAAACTTGGTATGGTTGGTTCTCAAGGGTTATGTTTGGTGGTTTTGCCCGCACTTTGTATGGACAAGTATAATGAAATATGTAGCTATTGATTATTCATTTAATTAGAGGGGCTGTTGTATTATTATCTCTGTACTGAAATGAAGTTGGAGGTCATCTTTGTTATATAATTTGTTTGATGTAGGCTTTTTTGCCATTTTTAACATGTCCTGTTATACCCCTCCCCTTTTCCCTTTATTTTAGCTTGTATTTTAATGTTTGATTTTGAAACTTAATAAAGATATGTTTTTTTAAAAAAAGAGAAAACAATAGCTGAGTTCTTAAGTCATTCTTTGTCTCTATTCTTGTCTCCTTGAGCTATGAGGAAAAAAGCATACAGGTTTTATCACCATGTTTTTAATCACAAAATTTCCTCTCACTTTACACGCCAATCTGATGTCCTTCAAAGGGAGCAATTGAAAAATGTCAGACATTGATGGAATCCTTTATTTATTTATTTGTTAAAAGAAAAGCTTTATTGTACATTCAATATTTTGGGGGGGCTTGAAGGGACAGAAGATCAAGGATAAAAAGTTGTGAAGCAATTCTTCTTTCCTCTTACTTATATTAAGATCCACACCTTCATTTGTCTTATTGGATGACCCCTAACTCTCCCCTTGCAAAAAAAAAAAAAAATAGACAGGGGCACCGTTTTCTCTCTCGTACACATACCTGGCTCAGATCTTGCAGCTGTGGATTTTGTATAGCCTTTGAGCACTTTGCTGCAATTTTACGGTGCTCCCAAAAATTCAAATCTCACCCTGTTCTAATTCAGTGCAGCTGTTCTATGCATCAGATCTCAGAATCTGGAAAATGTTGCTTCTTCGAGAAATCCATTGCTAGTGAAAAAGTTCTATGTAAGATGGGAAACAGGACTTGCTACTTCACAAGATTCAGGCTGCTTGCTAATGCAACACCGTGTGTTTTTAGAACTACATAAGGAAAGGTCAGAAGGAAAAAAAGATGGAAGAATGAAAGGCACAGAAACTTTACCCTATCAACCCCCCCAAAAGAGTAACTGCATTGTTGTTATGTATTATCAAAAGCATCATGAGATAGAGAAACCCAAAGAATTGTCCAATTCTTGTGGATGAAGAGAGATAAAAGAGCCAGTTTCAATGATCCAGAGAAACTAGAGGCCGAACAACTACAGGAGAGATCCCAAAAGAGAGGTCAGGACCTTCCGAGCACAGAGACAGCCCCTCCCATTCCATCTCAGCAGACAAAATTGACTCCAGAGTGTGTAGTTGCCATTCTGGGGATGGAGCAACCATTCTACTTAAAACAGAGCAAAGGTGGAGCTTGCCCTCAAATGATTTTTGTGTGTGTGTGTGCGAGTCACGTCTGCAGTTCCACCAAGTGATTCTGATTCTGCTGGGCCATGTCAATGGAGTGCGAAACCTCCTTTTGATATATTTCTTCTAAATCGTGTAGTATCTGGAAAAGCCTGAAAGGGCGATCAGCATTTTCAGGATCTGTAGCAAGAGAGGTGGAGAAGAAGAGAGGGTAAGTGAGCTAGAAAGAGATATCCAAACCCTCTAATCATTTGATATCACTGTTGACTGTTTCCTAGTATGACTTGATTGCTTATTGCACCCTATGACTATTCATCATAGGTACAATACATTCATTAGGAATCATAAGATACAACAATTAATGATTCTTGACTCATGTATCTTTTCTTTTATGTACACTGAGAGCATTTGCACCAAGACAAATTTCTTGTGTGTCCAACCACACCTGGCCAATAAAGAATTCTATCTATATCCTAAAAGAGGACAGCTTTGATATGTAAAACAACCTTTTTTCTACCAAGGACTATGTTTTCTTAGAGCTAATCTTCTGGAGCAGCATTGCAGGTGAAGCTGAAGAAAGCAACGGAGTAGGGAAGCTAGAAGTGGATAGGGACACACATTCTCTCACTGATGTCTTGCAGAGGTATGTGGGAAAGACCTTGAGAGAAGGAGCAAAGAGATGCTGCCTTGGGGAGGTCCGATAAGAGACAGTAGATATTAGCCAGGAGTGGGATTCTCCTGGTTTGGACAGGGTGAACCCCTTGTTCCAATGATCAGCTGGCTCCAAACCGGTTCGCTCTGACGAGCATGTGGACCCACCCGCCCACCCCTGCTATTTCCTGTGCTTTATGTCTTTTTGTTAGAGCACAGCTGATTCGTACAGCAGAGCAGTTTGCCATGCCTCAGCTGTTTTCTTCAGCTGCAGTTGAAGGCAAGTATTAGCTTTTTTAAATGCGGAGCACGTGCATGCGCTAAGCACGCGCTCACCGAACCGGTTGTTATACTGATGTTAGTGGGCAGGGCAAGAGGCTCACAAGAAATGCTCCCTAACCTCTCAAGATGTACAGGAGATGGGGGAGAATTGTACTTGCAAGATCCTGTTAATGTATCTTTATAATAAAGTAGAATTACCTCATCTGGTCATGTTTTTATGTCTGATCTACCTGGTAGGGCTGACACCAATCTTTCAATTCACTCTACATATTTATAAGCTATGATATCTATAAATCCATGTCATGATACTCAGGGATCTTCAAACCTGACAGCTTTAAGACTTGTGGACTTCAACTCCTAGAATTCCCAAGCTAACATGACTGAAGGAGGAATTCTGGGAGTTGAAGTCCACAAAGCTTAAACTTGCCAAGTTTGAAGACCCTTGATATAGACACTAATATATAAATGTTTTCGTAGATTTTCACAGGTACAGGTATGTAGGTCTAGGTGTGTTTGGGTCTTTTCCCGTGTAAGATTAAGAGTATCTTGGCGACGTTTCGGCGAGGTCCCACTAATATATAAATACATATACCTGTTCACCTCTGTTAAAGGTGTTGTGTGGGCCCTGACCATTATGAACAAAATCAACCTCAACCCAGCTTTTCCATTTCAACCATTTATTATTATTATGGCTTGTCGGACAATCAGCAGGATGTTTAGACTGGACTTGGCATTTTTACCCACCTATGTTATTATTAGTTAAATGTATTAGCTGCCCAACTGCCTAACAATGGATTCTGGCATTAAATTAAATAATAAATTTAAATTTAAATCAAATAATTAAATAATTAAATTGTATACCTTCACTCTGATGTTTTTCATTTTTTTCCAGAACTGTCAGTTCCTCATACTTTTCCCTTTGGACAGTAAAAAAAATAGAATAAAATGAAAGTTAATAAATTATACAACAAATTTCACATAGGGATGCATTTTGTGAATAGCACTACAAGAAAAGGAACATTATACAATAATCACTTCAAAACTTCAATAATTTTTCAGGTTTAAGAGATTGTGGCTGGGTGGGGAATTCTGGAGAGTTAAGGTCTTAAACTTGCTAAGTCTGAAAAACACTGCTTTGAGAATTTAATTTTTATCATCTTTAAATGTTTTTATCAGTTGGTTTTACTAAAATCCATTTTAGGATTGCTTTTTCTGAAAAATAGACATGTTGTTTTCCTATTCATCAGTGTAGTCATATAGAAGACCTCTTCACAACATTTCTATCCTAATTCCTTTAACTGCTTTCTTTTTCTTTATAAATCTTCATTGTAAAACACTTCCACCCTCGGCTGCATGAAGTCATAACCTCAATTGAGAGATGGTATTCAGCAGGTTCTGACCAGTTCTGGAGAACCGGTAGCAGAAATTTTGAGTAGTTCGGAGAACCGGCAAATACCACCTCTGACTGGAGATTTTACAACATCCTTCCCCTGCCACACCCACCAAGACACGTCCGCAGAACCAGTAGTAAAAAAAATTGAATCCCACCACTGCCTCACTTCCCTAAATAGAATAGAATAGAATACCTTTATTGTCATTGCATTCAAAATACAATGAAATTTGAAAGCTACTCCAACAAATTTGAAAGCTACTCCAGTGCCCCAAACACCACATCACAATCACACTACACAGTATTTAAAAATTAAAATAATTAAAGTAATAATAATAATAATAATAATAATAATAATAATTAAAAACCTCGTCTAAAACCTACTTAAAACATATGTTAAGTTAGATAGTTTAAAAATGCCACTTTATACATAGAACTAAATCACAAACATACTGTTTGATTCAAGACAATTATTGCCTTGGAAAAGAAACTGTTTCTCAGTCTATTAGTCCTCATTTTAAGACACCTATAAGGTCTCCCTGATGGTAACAATTCGAACTATGAATGACCAGGATGAGAACGGTCTGTGGAGATTTTTTGTGCTCTAGAGAGGAGTCTGGTCTTCGCAATCTCTTCCAAAAAAGAAAAAAAATGCTAAATAGGGCAGAATATAACAGAATAACAGAGTTGGAAGGGACTTTGCAGGCCATCTAGTCTAATCCCCTGCTCAAACAGGAGACCGTACACCATTTCTGCCCAGTATCTTCTTGAAACCCTCAAGGGATGAAGTGTTTTTTTCTGGTGAGACTGTCAGGGCAACTTGGTCTACCCAAATATGGGATGGAACATGCTGCTTCTGCTTTCACCTTTCAGCCCCAATCCAGGAGTCTTTGCAGGCAGTGGCTTCTGCAACAAACTATTTTGTGTTAAATGTTAATTTTACTGACATAGAAATAAAGGGAGACTAGTGTAACTATTTCAAGCTTTTTAGCTCTCATCAGCTAGCCATACCTTTCTGGGATTCAAACCCAAGCTGCTTGCATATTAGGCAGAAGTATTAACCTCTAGGCCACAGGCTCTCCTCACTTTGTTGGCTGCACCAAGCAGGGGAGGGAGATTGTGTTTTTCCAGCGAGACTGATCTATCAGGGCAACCTGATCTACTCAAATATGGGGTGGAGCATATTCCAGTGATGAAGCGCCCACAATTTCTGAAGACAAGCTGTTCCATTGGTTGATTGTTCTCACTGTTAGGAAATTTCTCCCTAGTTCTAGGTTGCTTCTCTCCTTGATCAGTATCCATCCATTGTTCTTTGTCTGGCCTTCGGATACTTTGGAAAATAGGTTGTTTCCCTCCTCTCTGTGGAAGCCCCTCAAATATTTGAATACTGCTATCATGTCACCCGTTGTCCTTCCCTTCACTAAATTAGCCACGCCCAGTTCCTGCAACCGGTGTTCATATGTTTTAGCCTCCAGTCCCCTAATCATCTTTGTTGCTCTTCTCTGCACTCTTTCTAGAGTGTTTGATTGAGGATGGTTATATTCTGATGTTATTTCTTGGCAACCACATAACTTTCTTTTAAATGATTGATGTAGCACCATCCAGGCCCATGAAGAATTAAAAGCCCAAGTACCCCTGTTTTACAAGAATACTTCAGCATTGGGTGAGGAAGGCTTGGTCAGTCAAGTCACCTCATTACTTCTTGAATTGCAAGCAGATGCTGGAATATCAGCTGAGCCTCCAAGTCAGGATCCAAGGGATCGTTCCATTCCCGCAGAGTAACTCCATGCCGGGTTTTGTCACAACCAAGACCTTCAAAACAAAGAAAGGGAGTACTGAAACCACACTGTTCCAATTCTGGAGAATCATCTTGCTGACCAAGAGTCCTACATAGTCCCAAGCTATAGATAGTCGTTGACTTAACAGCCACAATAGGGGCAAGAAAACTCATTGTTAAGGGATTGAATTATTATGTGACCTTATTTTATGACTGTTTTTACTGAAGTCTTTATATGGTTGCCATAGTCATTAAGTGAGAATCCCAGGCTGTGCCTTACGATCTTCTCTGCTGGCTTTTTCATTGACTTTGCAGGTGGGAAGCAAATGGCTGGGAAGGTTGCAAATGACCATCACGTGACCATGGGACACGGCAACTCTTGTAAATGTATGATAAGCTGCCCAGCATTTGAATCATGATCACATGGCTGCAGGGACTCTGTAATGGGCCGGTCACAAGTTACTTTTGTACTCCTTGCAGTCCTTCAATTCCCCACCATTCAGTCAGAACTGAAGAAGCTTCTTGGATGAGAAGTGAAACGTCTTCAAAGAAAAAATCAGAAAGTCCGGTTGCACCTTTGGGACAACCATGATCTGGAGGATTGAGATTCTCCATAGACATATAGCTCTGGGAAGAGCCATCATAATTTTAAATGGTTGGCAAGCGAGTGATCGTTACACAAGGAGTAGCTGTACATTTTTATTTTCTATAGTTTTTCTTTTTTAAAAAAAAGCTCTCTCTATATCTTGATATATATTAAAATAAACTTAAGGAGAAAACATTGTGACACACATTCCCACACCCAGAGATATGGGAGAGAACGAAGGCAGTACAGTAGCATTGTCAAAGAATGCAATACCTGCTTTGTCCTTTAGGTGGCAGCAGCTCCATTTGTCTCCTCTGAAAACCCCTGGATGATAGGAACATAGCATTCCCACATTGTTCCTGCAGACTTTCCGTAAGGCTGAGAGCCACTGGCTCAGCTCATTCACACACTGTGAAACAAGGCAAGGCAGAAAGACATCAATGCCATGGATTCTTTTGACTGGATGTATCCAGGGCCTTTAACACATTCCCCCTTTTTCTGCCCTACAATCCCTTCTAGGGAAACAGATGCTACAAGGTGCAGGCTGTGGTTTTTCCAGTTGCTGTATATCCCACACACTTGCTTGACCAGGGAAAACTGCAAGTCAATAGAAAGCAGAATGGACACAAAAGTCAGGAAGCCAATGTTGAGCTACTTTTAATTCCCTTAAAAGATACACACCTTCAATCTCGTTCACTGTGACATTTGTACATAAGTGAATAGAAATATAACCGGATGCTTGAACCATAGTTGGTACTTAACCATGCATATTAAAATTAGCCAATGATAAAATGCAAATATAGAATGGAATTACAACCAGATTCAGACACGATTCATCTGATTCATTTATTTCCCAAATGTATTTGATGCAATGGTTTCACGGTCTAATTAAATGTTAATGCCTAATATAGGTTCTGTCAACTGCAAAACTTAATTTAATTGACCCAGTGTTCAAAGAAGATTATAATTAGCTAGAGACAGATCCTTTCTTTTTTTTCGAGGTGGATGGGGCTAAGTTAATTTAATAAACTCCTTTCATGTTATGTTAACTGCTTACTGGAGGGCTACCTGGCCTTGTTATCAGTCATTATTGAGACAAAGACCTAGAGAGGGACTGCAAAATTGAACTTCTCTTGGTTCTCTGTGCCTGTGGTCATTTGTTTTCATGTACTGCAGTCAAGCCTTTCATCCTAACAGAAACAGCATCAATGAGTCACCCCAGATTAGCTATTGGCTCACAAAACTGGAATTATTGGGGTTAACCCTAACCGATGCCTGGATCATTCTCACAATGCAAATAAGGCCTATGCTATTGTTAAACTCACATAAAAAAAGGTGTCTTTCAACTTAAATTCATCTCCTGGTGAATTCATTGGTACATCCAAATACTTTTCTTGCAGCAGAATGAAATTATCGTATTTTCAGAGTATAAGATGCATTCCCCTACCCCCAAAAAAGTGGGTGGAAATGTCTGTGCATCATACAGCGAATACGGACCCGTTTTGGGCCTCCCAAAGCCTAAGCGCATCCCGTTTTGCCCTCCCTGGCATCAGGGAGACTGAAAGTGGGACCAGAGGTGGCATTCAGCAGGTTCTGACTAGTTCTGGAGAACCGGTAGCGGAAATTTTGAGTTGTTCGGAGAACCAGCAAATGCCACCTCTGACTGGAGATTTTACGGTATCCTTCCCCTGCCACGCCCACCAAGCCACGCCTACAGAACTGGTAGTAAAAAAATTTGAATCCTACCACTGCTCCGGAGGCCAACAACGGGCATGTTTTTGGCCTGCAGAGTACTTCTGGATGCCAGGGAGGCCAAAAATGGGATGCGAGGTGGCTTTTGGAAACTAAAAACCGGCGTGTTTTTGGCCTGCAGAGTGCTTCTGGACACACTCTGGAAGGTGGGGGCAAAAACGGGACGCGTGGAGGAAAAAACTTTTTTTTTCTTGTTTTCCTCCTCTAAAACAAGGTGCGTCTCATAATCTGAAAAATACGGTAGTTTTCTGCTGTCTTGTTTGGGGAAATTTTGACTATAGCCCTGAGATTTCCTAGTGGTTTCCCTTCCAGGTATTACCAGACCTGACTGCTTAGCTTTTAAACTCAGACAAAGATGCCCAGTGCTACACCTGCTAGGGCAAAGTATCAATGGGGTGCATTTTTGTTTCTCCTTAAAATATTTGGATTCCCTTGCATTTTATTTGAAAGCATCTCTCAGTTTTGCAAATGTGAGAAACTGCTGGATTCTATGTATTTATTTCTCTAATTGATATAGCTGCTCCTCACACAAAACAAGTGGCATGTTGTATCTACCAATACAACTTCTGCCATGGGGCCACCCAGGTGAAGTCTTCTTGCTCCTCCCGCCCCATCAGAACAAAATGTGACTTGTTGTGTCTCTACCTTGCACTGCAGGTAAGCTGTGTCTTCTTGCCCAGCATCATTAGTGTAGATGATCTGCATGACATGGGAGATACCGAAACTCTTCTCCTCTACTTTCTCAGCTGCCCGGATACTACTCAGTGGCACAAAGGAGCTTTTCTGAAAGGAAATCCCAGAAATATATATTCAAGAAACCTTGAGTCAAATGGAAACAAACTTTGTCTCTCACTGTGAATCCAACCAGATGCTTCCAACAACCCTTTCTCCTCGTAGCCACTAGAATTCTGGAGCAGACTGTCTCTAATCAGGGAGATTCTATACCATCACAATGGGTAATACCTAGAAGTAGAGCTTTCTTCCTCCATGAATTTGACAAATCCTCTTTTAAAGGACCCAGATTGTCGGGGGCAGTATGCTGACTCTGTAAACTGCTTAGAGAGGGCTGTAAAGCACTGTAAAGCAGTATATAAGTCTTAAGTGCTATTGCTATTGCTAAAGTTATCCTCAAATGGAAAACACTTAAAAAGGTAAAGGCAAAGCTTTCCCCTATCCCAGTGATGGCTAACCTTTTCGGCACTGAATGCCCAAAGTGAATGCGCACGCGCACCCCCCCCCCCCCCAATATAATGTCCACATGCCCCCTGTGCATTTGGTCCATCCTTGGCGCATGCGTGCGCATCCCCATGCATGCACACGTCATCCACGCATGCACCCCACCCCGTGCATGCGTGTATGTCCCCCCACACATGTCCCCCGCCCCCTGCACATGTGTGGCAGAGACTTGAAGACCAGCTGGCTGGCGGGAGGTGCATGCGCACATGTGTGGCAGAGCTGAACTAGGCGATGGCTTGTGCGCTTACAGAGAGGGCTCTGCGTGCCACCTCATAGGTTCACCATCACGGCCCTATCCAGTCATGTCCAACTCTAGGGGGTGGTGCTTATTTTTGTTCTTTAGCCAAGGGGGGCAGCGTTGTCCAAAGACACTTCTGTAGTCATCTGGCCAGCATGTCTGTACACCGAGGTGCACAGAGCATTTTTAACCACTGAGTCAGCAAAACACTTAAAGCTACCCCAAAATCATTGCCACTGAAAACATTAAGTGTGGCTGTTGGCCATCCAGAAATGTTCTTCCCACTGTAGTTGAAACTTGTACTATCACACTGTCATATTCCATTGCTAACAATCAATTAAATTCTGAGCTTTCTTGAAAGTTATTCTTCTTCAGCACAATAGCAGCTGGTCCTCAAAATCACACCAAGAGTTTAATAGCCGAGACTTGAATTTAAGTCTCTGTATTCCTAGTCCAACATTCTTATACTATGTTGCTTCAAGGCCTCCGAGATTTGATTATGTGCCATCAAGTTGTTTTTTGACTCCTAGAGAATAGATTATAGCAATAGCAACAGCACTTAGACTTACGTATATACCGCTTTACAGTGCTTTACAGCCCTCTCTAAGCAGTTTACAGAGTCAGCCTATTGCCCCCAACAATCTGGGTCCTCATTTTACTCACCTCGGAAGGATGGAAGGCTGAGTCAACCTTGAGCCTGGTGAGAGTTGAACTGCCAAATTGCAGCAGTCAGCAGAAGTAGCCTGCAGTACTGCACTCTAACCACTGTGCCACCGCGATTATATCCACAATGATCTATCCCTAACCTGGTCTTTTAAATCTCCCAGTGGTGCCCCCATTGCAACTGCAACTGAAGTCAGCTCAGCAACTTCAACTTCTCTTCCCTCCCACTTTCCCCAGAACTGGTACTTTTTCCAGAGAGTTCAATCTTCACATAAATAGCAATAGCAATAGCACTTACACCTTACACTTACACTTCCCAGTGCTTTACTATGCTTTACTCTCTAAGCAGTTTACAGTGTCAGCCTATTTTCCCCAACAATCTGGGTCCTCATTTTACCCACTTTAGAAGGCTGGAAGGCTGAGTCAACCTTGATCAAGTCAGGATTGAACTCCTGGCAGAAGGGAGTTAGCTTGCAATACTGCATTCTAACTACTATGCCATCACAGCTCTAATTTGTCTAAAGTCGGCTAATTTGAGCCTGGCCATTTGGTTGCTGTTTTGGGGGAGGGACTTCGTTTCTACAGTGTGATGATTGGCTAGCCTTCCTTGGCCCTCTTTCCTTGGACTCCCCAACTTATATAAAGGGTTTCAAGAGAAGCCATTTCAGCAAGGACCATGGCCAGAGCCTCTGATAGTGGCCAGTCTCTGTCCTTCACCTACCTTGGAGTTGGGTGTCTTGGCGCAGGTGAGAGCCTCATGGGTTAAAGTGAAATAGAGCTTCTTGAAAGAGAACGAGAGGAGAGGCCCCTTGCTTCTCGCCTTGTGGATGAACAGGTACCCTTCTTTTACAACCTGAGGTTGCAGGGAGATGGGCTTCTGCAGGTCTAATTCTGTAATTCAACAGCCGCAGCAGTGAACGCAATATATGTGCATGTGTTTTGAATGAGCAGGAAATAATAACAACACTAGTAATAGCACAAGTTGGCAGAAAATCACGAGATATAATCTGCTGCCCTCATTGTTAGCCTCAGTCCTACTTATATAGTCTTTGTTGCTAACGGGGAATGTCCCTGCAAGGTGTCTTACTCAAAGCCATTAGTGAAGCCATCTGGCTTTGCTGCCCTTCCTCTCTTTGAATGGTACCAAGGATGAGAAACCAGACTCATCCACAGGAGTTTGCTATTTTGCTTTTGTCCTTGGGATGCAGGCTCTGCACCTTTTGTATATATGCATGGGATATTACAACATACATACAACAGGATTGTAAATCACCTTTTTCTGAGGCTGTTATAACTTTGAAGTATCATTAAACAAGTGGTCATAAACCGAGGACTGCCATACTAAAAAAGAAATGGGATTAGGCGCTAAATTTCAGATACCACTAAACTACTTTCTGGCTGATGGCTCAGAGAAAGCACTGCTGCTTGTAGTAACCAAAACATTTCTTAATTTGTTTGGCTTTATCAAGCATTTACCATCTTTCTCCTCAATGTCAATTAGCTGCAGGATGAACTGCTTCATCTGGGCAACACCGCGTTGAATGGTGGCTTGCAGGGGGGCCATCCAGGCTTCCTTGGTGCGGCTGATGCTGTTGTCCATGTTCCCCACGTTTTGGACAGCCTGACCCAGCAGAAAAATCAGAAAATCAATGAATACTTCAGCTTCAACCATAACAACACAAGAGCACACAATAGATACAAACTCAAGGTTAACTGCACCAGACTTGATTGCAGGAAATACGACTTCAGCAACAGAGTGGTCAATGTCTGGAATACTCTACCTGACTCTGTGGTTTCTTCCACAAACCCCAAAAACTTCAACCTTAGACTGTCTACTACTGACCTCACCCCTTTCCTAAGAGGTCTGTAGGGGGCGTGCATAAGTGCACCAATGTGCCTATCGTCCCTGTCCTATTGTTTCTTTTATTTTTCTTATATGTACCCATTTCATGTATTCATAACTATGTATATACTTATACCTATTATCTTGTAAGCGATTGACAAATCAAAATAAATAAATAAAGTCACCACAACTCAAGAACAAGCTTCACCCAGATTGAGAGAAAAGCCAGAATGGTTTGCAGTGGAGAGAATGCTGGGACTCATGCGATGAAAGGGATTGAGATTTAAATAGCCACCCGGTCCAAATCAAACAGGTGTCATGTTTGGCTCAAGGGGAGGGGAGGGAAGGAGGAGGGGAGTGGGAAGAATGAGAGGAGGAGGAGGAGAGGACAGAGAGGGAGCAGAAGATGGAAAGGGGAGTGGGAAGGAGAAGAAGGAGAGGGAGAGGAGTAGGGGAGAGAGAGAAAGGGAGGAGAAGATAGGAAGAGGGAGATGGAGAGGGAAGTGGGAAAGAGGAGAGGGAGAGGGAGAGGGGAGAAGAACATGGAGAGGCAGAAGGAAAGGGGAAGGGGAGAGGGAGAGGAGTAGGGGAGAGAGAGAAAGGGAGGAGAAGATAGGAAGAGGGAGATGGAGAGGGGAGCGGGAAAGAGGAGAAGGAGAGGGAGAGGGGAGAAAAACATGAAGAGGCAGAAGGGAAGGGGAAGGGCAAGGGAGAGGGACAGAAGGGAGAGGGGGGAGTTGGCAGGAGGAAAGGGAGAGGGCTGTAAAGGAGAGGCAGATGGAGAGGGGGAGGGGAGAGGGAGAGGGGGAAGGGAAGCAAGATGAGATGAAATAAGAAACTCTAAAAGAGAACAGGGACATTTGACAAGAGTCAAAAGGAGGACCCCTTTTGGACATCATCAGGCTATTCAGAGCATTTCTTCTGGGACAGGGTCTTACCTTGGCCAGCAAAAGCAGAGCCCGGCTGATGTGAGCATCGGCATGCTTCTCCCATAGGTGGAAAAGTTTGGGGGACATAATGGCTGGAGAGAAGAATCGTAGGCAGAGGAAGCTTGTGATGGCAATGAATTTCACATTCTGTAAGTGCAGAAGGGACAGAGTTTTTGAAAGGGGACGGGAAGAGACCAAGGACAAAAACAATATATGACAGGCAATACCAAACCTCTCCATTTGTGTCTTGAAGAAAAGGAGAGTGGTAAGAATAAGATACCAAAAGTAGAAATGAAACTGGCCCTTCCTTAAGGTATTGGTTAAAAACACATTCAAGTCCCTGCTGGGTGGGATGGTAAGATCAGGGGTGGGATTCTACCAGTTCGCACCTATTCGCTAGAACCGGTTGTTAACATTCCAAGCAGTTTGGAGAACCAGTTGTTAGAAGAAATTACTGGCCTAATCCTGTAAGGAAGGCAGGAAGGAAACATTCTGGTGTTGCTTACAGAAACTGCCTCTCTCTGTTAACTCTAATTACATTCTTGGCAGGACTAGACTTCCTGTCTCAGGAACTTCTCTGGAGTTTTTTTCCCCTCCTTTGCTGGTACTTTGCTTGTGTGGAGTGACCATTCAAAGTTACAATGGCACTGAAAAAAGTGACTTATGACCATTTTTCACACTTACGACTGTTGCAGCATCCTCACAGTCATGAGAGGCCAGGCGAGGAGATGCGTGCCTCAATGTGAGTGATATTGAGTTGGCCACACCCAGCCAATAACATGACCACCAAGCCATGTCCACCCAGTCACATGACCACCAAGCCACGCCCACCAACTAAGCCACACCCACAGAACCGGTTGTTAAAAAATTTGAATCCCACCCCTGGGTAAGATCCTGCTGCTTTTCTTCCCACAAGATCACACACGTTACATTACCTGACAAAGAAGTGGAAGACTTACAAAAGAATTTGTAATTACAAAAAAATGTCAAAAGAATTTATAAAATCAGAACCCCACATTCCTGCAAGGGGAGCGAGATTGAGTTAGAAGAATCTAATTCCGCCCAACCGACCTGATTTTTCTCTTCGGGGAACCGTTCTGCAACTCTCTTGAAAAGGAGCTGAAAAGTGGCACGGATGACAGGCGGGCACATCTTGGCAGACCTGGTGATGGTGTTCAGTAGGTCAGTCAGATACGACTGAAGGAACTGGCCGCTCTGCTGGATCACCTCACTTTCACTGTGGATCCGGTGAAGGCTAGAGCATCTGGACCAAGAAGCAAACATAACCGAATAACTCAGACCTTCCCTGTATGCCATTCACAGCCATGTGGGATTTTACCAAAAATGCAGTCCCCAATCAGACTGATGACATATTCAACATGGTTGTCCCAAAGGTGCTTTTTTCAAGAGGCAACTAGACGTTCTTGGTTTTTCCTGGAAGATGTTTCTCTTCTCATTTAAGAAGCTGCTTCAATTCAGGGAAGCAAAACGTCTTCCAAGAAAAACAAAAAAACCAGTTTCCTCTTGAAAAAAAGCACCTTTGGGACAACTATGACTTGGATGCCTGAGAATCTTCACAGACGTCCAAAATGGCTGCTTCATGCCCTGAATAGCCCATTAGTTTGCTGGAGAGTAGCAGGTTGAATGACTTATTACATCATTAGAATCAGAGGCGGCTTTTAAACTCAGTGTTTCTCAACCTTAGCAATTTTAACCTGAGTGGATTTCAACTCCCAGAATTCCCCATGCCAGCTGGAAATCTGAAATCCAGACCTTTTAAAATCGCTACAGTTGAGAAACAGTGCCTTAGCTGAAGCCCTAGTAGAACTGGTGCTGGTTCTTCAACCAGGCAACCAGGATCAACCAGGCAACTGGTGCTGGTTCTTCAACCAGGCAACCATTATTTTCCTAAAGAATGTGCTGTAATTGTAATACCCAGAGATCTAAAATTGTATTCAACAATTCCAGTAGTAGCGAGATGCCTTTTGTGGTTTACATATTTTGGGACTCTCAGCATGCAAAGCTTCTTCGCAAAGTTCTAAGCACGGATGCATGTCACGTTATAAATATTTCCTCCTGTACCTACATCCATTTAAGGAGAAAAATAATGCAGAGAAATTGCTAATTAATACTGACTATTATAGGAATAGGAAGAATAGGAATTGACTACTTAAGAAACAATGAAGCAAGGCCATTCCATATTCAAAGTGTCAGAGGAATAGGAAATGTAACTTGTCTACCAGCTACAAAATTCAAATGTTCTACAATTATGTTGCCTGATACATGTTTTCATCACAAAACCTCAAGCAATAAGACAATGAGAATCACCTCTAGCAAGCACTAGGATTCAAGACCCACTTTATTTCCTTGATAAGCAGATCTGGTTTTTTATTATGAATTATATAAATCCTCCAGACTTTGCATTTTTATGCCTGAACAGCACCCAGGTAAAGAATTTAAATGTCTGACACTGACAGAACTTTCCCTCAGTTGTCTTAGGCACTAACATGCTGGTCCTTCTATTCTAAAATATATTTTTAACATCGAAACTGGCATATTTTAAAAAATAACACATCAACATTATTTCCCAGAATGCATTTGAGAATCCAATCAGCCATTTTTGAAGAACCGGGGATGGAAAATAGGAGAACAAAAGGCCCCATCCACCCCACCCCCACCCAGGGGTGGGATTCAAATTTTTTAACAACCGGTTCTGTGGGTGTGGCTAGGTGGGCGTGGCTAGGTGGGCATGGTCATGTGACTGGGTAGGCATGGCTTTTTTTTGTAGCCCCCCCTTTTTGGGGGGGCCTTCTGGGCCTCAGGGAAGCCTCCTGGGGGGCGTTTTTGCTCCCAGAAGGCTTCCCTGGGGCCCAGGAAGGTAAAACACCCCCCTCTCGCACCCCTTTTTGCCTCCTGGGCCTCAGGGAAGCCTCCTGGGAGTAGCAGTAAGACAGTGAGGGGGATCCCGGCACAGATGATCATTGGAACAGCTGATCATTGGGAGGGAAGGAAAAAAAAGAAATCCCTTAAAGTGTGACTGGGGACTGGGGCGGGGGAGAATGCAGTCAGCAATGTCAGGCCTGCATGCAATGTCGGGCCTACATGATAAGGACTGATTGGGAGGGGAGGGGAGGGGAGGGCGGAGAGGAGTGGGGCCAGCCAGGGTCACAATTTGCCAGTTCTCCAAACTGCGCAGAATCATAACAACCAGTTCTATAGAACTGGTCCGAACCGGTAGAATCCCACCCCTGCCCCCACCTATTTCCATTCTGGTAAATGGGAGGATAGTGATTGATAATGCTCATAAGGGCTGCCATTTTGTGAAGGCACCAGGGGTGGGCTTCAAAAATGTTAGCCATGGGTTCTCTGCCCGGTTGCTGGGTGGGCGTGGCCATGGTGGGCGTGGCCTAGTTGGCCTCCTGCACCACGGCGGGGGAGAGCGTTTTTGCTCTCCCCAGGCTCCGGAGGCTTTTCTGGAAGCCAGAAACGGGCCGGTTTCTGGCCTTCCTGAACTTCCAGGAGGCCCGTTTTTTGCCCTCCCTGAGCCTCCGCATGCACCCTGCACTTACGTGGGAGGGGCGGGGTTGGCGGGGCCAGCCAGGAGTGGGATTTGGGGGTTCCCCAAACTCTGCAGAATCTTAGCTAGATGGTCTCCCGAACCCCTGAGAACCCCCAGCAGCCCATCCCCGGAAAGCACCTACAACCACTTCTCAAGGTTTTGTGAAGAGAGAGGCTCCTTCCTTCTTCCTACCCGATCTCTTTGCTTTCCACTTTGCTGGGATCTAGTTCGATGTATCTCTTCTCTTCAAACACTCGGTTGATAGATGGCCTAAGGATTCGATGGAGGTATTGCATACCTGCCACCTACAGAGTCAGACATTAGAGACACAGCAGAAGATAGTGAGCTTCATAATCAGAAACTGCTAATAAATATTGGAATGTGCTGAAATGAGTAGATTGACATTTGAAATTAGAGAACAAGAGGATAAACAATTTTATAAAATTTGGGACCTTTTCTATCAATGGTTAGATAATAAAATATAGTAATGAAATATGTAGATTTTTAGAAAATAATAAATATATAAAGATGTACTTCTTTTTTATTATAAAAATGTTTTTAGGATAGATTTGGGAGGATAATATGAATTGTTATAAAATAAACTAAGTAAATTATGGTTATCTCGTAAAATATGAATGAATAAAACTATAGTCAAATGATTGATTAATAATGATACTAGGGTATTTAATTTTTGATTGATAATATGAGCTTTTGTGTAATGTAACTGTAATTGAAGACTACGAAATGGATGCACAAAATAATTTGTAAACCAACCGGCACACTGTTCATATATCTATGGAAGAAAGTTTGATGTTTTTATGTTTTTATGTTTTGTTTGTTTATGTTTGTTTTTAAAAACCAATAAAAAATTTTTTTTAAAAAAAGAAACTGCTAGAAAAAACCTCCCACAACCTCTCATAGAAGGAAGGCAGAATCCCCCAAAGTACCTTCAGAAATGACTCCATAGACTTAGAAGCTAAAGAGTTGCTTCGAAACAACGTGTTGGGTTCAGCTGAAACACAGAAAGTGGTTTATGATTGGTCACTGTTCCATAGACCCCATTCAACCACTTCATCCCATTTTATGAAAAAAAACCAGGATGACTTGCTATGACTATTTGACCATTGAAAGGGTCAAGGCATCTTTCATTGGTTGTCTCCTTTGATTCAGATATATCTTTTTCTTAAATGATAGAAGCAGCAAAAGTGATTATCTGAAACCAATATGATATTCATCTTTGCCTTCACTGGCTTTCAAAGATTTTTTTTGCCAACTCAAAAGACTTCCCTCTTTTTTTCATATTGATCGCGCTCTCCTCCTTATATCTTATTTCAGATATTCTCTCCTCTTTGCATCCTGCCTACCCAGAAAGCTTCTATATACCTTGATAATTCCAAATTGGAGGCAAAGCAGTTTGGTCACAACAAAATCGACCACAATACTCGTTGGGATTAAGAGACAAGAAATGACAGGCAATTAATAAACTGAATGGGACAGGTTTAGTGAGTCCAATGTCTGCATTTACACAAAATGCTGTATACTCAAATAACAAAATGTGTTCTTATATAGCAAGGGTCTTCAAACTTGGCAAGTTTAAGACTTGTGGACTTTACTCCCAGAATTCCCAAGCTAACATGACTGGAGGAAGAATTCTGGGAGTTGAAGTCCATAAGTCTTAAAGCTGCCAAGTTTGAAGAGCCCTGTACCAAAATGGGAAAAAAGATTTAACATAGTGTCCTGGTTTACATGCTACACATTAAGATATCACATGGAACCACAAACTGCTTATTGCTACTAGTTTTGCTACTGGTTTAACCCCTTTGAACCCACACACCTTCATGGTATTAAATACCACTCTTCATGGTATTTAATTTATTACATGTACAGCCCATGAAAATCGGAACGAACTCTTGGCAATGTGACAGAAGCAGTATTAAAATATCCATGGTTTCATTAACATGAAAAGCAATTAAAACAAACTCAACATCCCCAATTACACACACACACACACACACACACACACACACACACACACCAAGGAAATTGCAGGGATTTTTCCAACAGTCACCAGGAGTCAACACTATTTGGCAGGTTCTGACCAGTTCTGGAGAACCGGTAGCGGAAATTTTGAGTAGTTTGGAGAACCGGCAAATACCACCTCTGACTGCCCCTGCCCCCATCTATTTTCTGACTCCTGAGTCCCAGCTGATTGGCTGAGTCTTCTTTGGTTGCCCTGCACAGGAGAACGGAGCTGGAAAGCAGGTTAGTGGGGTGGGGAGGGAATGGAGATTTTACAGTATCCTTCCCCTGCCACGCCCACCAAGCCACACCCACCAAGCCACGGCACACCCACCAAGCCATGCCCACAGAACCGGTAGTAAAAAAAATTGAATCCCACCACTGCAACCTCCCCTCTCCTCCCTCCCACACTTGCACAGCACACACGCAAAATTATTCCCTCCTGCCCTGGTTCTTACAGGTTTTGTCCAGCTCCAGTTTGAAGAGGAGGTCCAAGAACTCTTTAATCAAGCCTTGGCCCAAGAAGAGCTTGACAAGGTTGACTGCAAGTTCCTGTCTGCATTCAGCTGTTGTGGTCTCATCAATCAGGGTTATTAAGTGCGGTTTCTGGTTCTGCACGGAGAAGAGCGTAGGCAGAAGAAATACATTTCACGGAGAAGTTAATGCACATTAACTTCAGAAGGGGAGCGGATATTTTTTCATAAAAACATAATGCTCCGTGTGTCCCTTTGAACATAACCTTCTGCATTCTCTGCTTTATCAAGGACATTTTCATCACACGTACAGCCTTTGTGCCGCTGCCTTCCATCCCAAGCCACACAAGAGCCATAAGTGTTAGCCAAAGAAATTTTCCTGCCTAAGGCAAAAGATGAAACATTGATGAAGATTCTCAGTCATCCAGGCAGAGTTATCCTGGAAGGTGAATCGTGGCCACTGGACTTCTTTTCTTTTTGGTTTGAAATATTTTGCAGCTTATCAAAGCAGCTTCTTCAGTCTGAGAATCTTCATCAAGCAAGGAGCTACCATATTTTTCAGAGTATAAGACGCACTTTTTCCACCTCCAAAAGTGGGTGGAAATGTCTGTGAGTCTTATACAGCGAATGTTGCCGAAGCCCCTCCCTCCCTCCAGCCCCCACCCTTTGGCCTCTGCCTCCCAGCAATTTGCATCCTTGAAGCAAACATCCTGTTTCAGTTTCAGCTCAGCCTGATTTGCCCAAGCAGCTGATTGTTGGTTGGATTGGCCAGCTGACGATCAGCTGTTTCAGGGATTGCCATTGCCTATTGCTGCCTCCACATGCCCATTTTTGCCATCCGCATCCCATTTTGGCCTCTGCACGTCCCGTCTTCAGCCTCCACGTGCCCCGTTTTCCACCTGTTCCAATCCCCGTCACCCAGAACGAGCCGAAAATGCATAAGCGCACCAACGTGCCTACCGTCCCTGTCCTATTGTTTCTCTTATTCTTTTATTTTTCTTATATGTACCCATTTCATGTATTCACAACTATGTATACATTTATACTTATTATCTTGTAAACAATTGGCAAATCAAATAAATAAAATAAATAAATAAATAAATAAATAAAAATGGGGTGTGCGGAGGCTGAAGACAGGATGCGGAGGCTCAAAATGGAATTTACAGAGGTAGCAATAGGCGATGGCAATCCCTGCAGCCTGAAACAGCTGATCATCGGGAGGCCGATCAACCAACAATCAACTGCATGTGCTAATGAAACAGGATGTTTGCTGTTTGTTGCAAGGAGGCAAATTGCTGGGAGGCAAAGGCAGATTTTTTCCCCCTGTTTTCCTCCCCAAAAGCTAGGTATGTCTTATATTTCGGAGCGTCTTATACTCCGAAAAATACTGTACTTTGATAAGCAACAAAATGTTTCAAACAAAAAAGAAAAGAAAAGGAGTCCAATTGCCATGACTCAATCTCCAGATATGGCCCTTTGTTCCATGTACACTGATCTGGCAGCTCAATTTTTCTTCAATATTAGCTATAAGAGAAGATCCACCACCACCCCTGGGTGCAGTGAGCTAGCTTAGAAGGTTCAGGAAAGACTTTGTGGCCTGAAGAACTATATCCTTCAAGGGAATGACTTGGAGATGGAATGGCTACTCAGCTGTGCTGGTTGCCTCTTTCCCCAGTTTCACAAAGGCAGCATTTCACTCTTCCTAATGGTGGGGTTCTATTGTGAGGTAGGTTAGCACGAGAGAACTACCTGGTCTATGGTTGCCCAAGGATGATCAGAAATGTTTGGAAATAAGAACTGGGGACTCCCAACTACTCCTTCTTCAGGGACAAGAATGGTACAAGAGACTTAAACAGTGGAATGACCTGCCTCCGTATGTTGTGGGTATTTCAGCATTGCAGGTTTTTAAGAAGAGATCGGACAACTATTTGTCTGAAATGGTACAGAAGTCCTTAGTGACTGTTTGAAGTTACAATGGCACTGTAAAAAGTGACTTATAACCGTTTATCACACTGAAGACCATTACAGCATCTCCATGGTCATGTGACAAAAATTCACACGCTGGGCAATTGGCTAATATTTATGATGGTTAAGTATCCTGGGGTCATGTGATTCTCAAAGGGAAAGCCTCATTCACTTAACCCTGTAGGGCCTCCCGCTTGAGCAGAGGGTTGGACTAGAAGACCTCCAAGGTCCCTTCCAACTCTGTTATTCTGGTATTCCATCTCACCTTTATCCCTGCTTTAACTTCCTGGCACAACAGCTCAACGAAAGGCTGATAGTAGATGGATGGCAGAACCATCTCATCCCGAAGCTGTACCTGAAGTTGCAAGGAGCCTAGATTCCCTCTGAAACACATGGAAAAATAAGGATATTAAATATACCTTATAATGGTTACCACTTTCCTAGCATTTGAGGATGGCAGACACATTTCAGTTTGATCTCATGGAATGTGAGTTCAGTGGATGATCTCATGGAATGCTTCCTATAGGCATCTCTACACTTATTCTCCAAAGAAGCAAAGCTGATTTCAAGTGCTCCTAATACCCTTAGGAGAAAAATTAACTAATCAGACAAAAAATAATAATAACCCCAAATAAAAGTAGACAAGATGAATCAGTTCAAGACACTGTAAGGCCGTGATGGTGAACCTATAGCATGCTTGCCGGAAGTGACACACACAGAGGCATCTCTCCGGGCACACTAGCTGGCACTCGTTGCTCTTCCGGGTTCCGGTGTGCACATGTGCGCCAGCCAGCTGGTCTTTGCGCAAGCGCCAGAAACCAGAAGAGCAACTCCCAGCACGCATGCGTCCAGCTGATCTTTGCGCACGCATGCACACCGGAAACCGGAAGACTAGGTGGGTGACATGCATGCACACGCCGGAAACCGAAAGCTCACATTCCCAGCACTAGGGACCTGCTCTTCCCTTCTCCGGTGCTCCTGCGTGTGCGCTCCCGTTTTGGCGCTCAGTGCTGAAAAGGTTCACCAACACTGCTGTAAGGCAACTTCTAATGTTTTTATTTATTATTTATTTATTGAATTTATATTGCCGCCTAATTCGCCCATGGCGACTCGAGGCAGCTTACAGAATGTAAAACCATTTTTAAAATAATTTTTTTTAAAAAAAGAATCAAATAAATTAATAAAGTACAATAGAACAAAATCTGGAAAAAAAATATCTCCCCAACTCTCACCCATCCCGCCCCCACGACAGCAGATCACACGAGATATTTGATGGGCTCCATCCCGCTCTTGGGTCCCCAGGCCTGCTGGCAAAAGCAGGCCTTCAGTGCTTCTGAAAGAGTGCTAGAGTGTGGGCCATTCTAATCTCTGGGGGAATGATGTTCCAGAGAGAGGGAGCCACCACGGAGAAGGCCCTTCTCCTGGGTCCCAACAGGCGTATCTCCCTCAGGGATGGGACCCCTGCCTCCCCACTCTGATGGGTCGGGTAGATGTGACTGACGTTCTCTCAGATAACCTTTTGGAGGAAACCCTTCTGAACTTCCGAGGCGCTCCCTAGCTTCAGTTTTCATTTCTCCTTTGATAATCTGGTAGGTACTAAGAATTCAGACTTACTCATCCAATCTTGGTTTGGATTTGTCTGGGCGGAGCAAAAACCATCCTTCTTCTCGCTGGACAGCCTTCAGCCTTTGGACATCAAATACCACCTGCAGATCAGAAAGAAATGTCCAAGGGGGTTGATGGTGGCCTCCAAAAGATGTTAAGCATCCAAGAACCAGTGATCAGGTGGCAAGTAGGTAATGGGACAAGCCATTTCCCAATTGTTTCTTTCATTATTATTATTTTTTTTTGGGGGGGGGGGGGAAGCTGAGTGGCAGAAGAGATGCCATAAAGGCGAACAGGTGCAGTCTACCCTGTTTCTCCAACAATACGGCCTCCCCCAATACGAAGTCCCAGCATGTTTTATAGGCATGAAATGAAATTAAGCCCCTCCCCCCAAATTAAGGCCTATATTAAAACATGCGAAATGGGGGGGAATGGTGGGGGGGGCTTGCCGTTAGGAAGTACTTTTGTTGCACACCCGGATATGGTGCTACCTGCGTTGACCCCAATACGAAGTGCCCCACCAACGCCGAGGTCAACATCCAAGCCATCGCCGCCCACCCGCCCAAAGATGCAGGGGGGGGGAGAAATTAAGTAACCCCCGAAAAGATGGCCTAGCCATTTTTTCGGGGCTCAAAAAAAAATAAGACCCGGCCTTATTATATGAGAAACACGGTATTTTTCAAAGCGGGGTTGGTATATAGTCCTAGCAAATTAACATTTTATTATCAATTGTCCAATGCACAAGATCCCTGAAAGGAGGGGGGGGGGGGGAGCAGAAAACAGCCTCTATAAAAGATTGTCCCTACTCCAAATCACTGCCACCGATTCTCCTTTAAGATTCTCATAAAAGTGTTTGGGTGGTTGTTTTAATTTAATTGTTTTTCTATTCATATGGCTTGAATATTTTGAGGCAGTTTTTTTTTCTCCAAACTTGGCAAATTCAAGACATGTGGATTGGTGGAGAATTCTGAGAATTGGAAGTCCACACATCTTAAAGTTGTCAAGTTTGAAAAACATTGCTTTTAGGAGGATTAAACGTAAAGGTAACGGTTCCCCTCGCACATACATGCTAGTCGTTTCCAGCTCTAGGGGTCGGTGCTCATCTCCGTTACAAAGCAAAGAGCCACCACTGTCCGAAGATGTCTGTCTCTATGATCATGTGGCCGGCATGACTAAACGCTGAAGGTGCACAGAACGCTGTTACCTTCCCACCAAAGCGGTCCCTATTTTTCTACTTGCATTTTTTGCATGATTTCGAACTGCTAGGTTGGTAGAAGCTGGGACAAGTAACGGGAGCTCACTCTGTTATGTGGCACTAGGGATTCGAACCACCAAACTGCCAGCCTTTCTGATCGACAAGCTGAGCGTCTTAGCCACTGAGCCACCGTGTCCCTTTAGGAGGATTGGGAGGGTAGAAATATTTGCAGTAATAATAATAACAACCCAGCAGATGGCAGCACGTGGTCAATTTATTTGAGTTATTTGACAGAAGTAGGCTTAGTAATTCAGGTAGATCAGGGAATCCCAATTGTAAGAGGCCTGGGCAGCTGGAAAGGCATCCTGGGAGACTGAACAGCAAGCCATTTCTTTAACTTTGCAAGAAAAATGTGTACCTGTTAAGTCAAACTGATTTTGTTGAGAGTTTTTTTTTCTTTTAAAAATCATCATTATCACCATTGCCGTCTTGACCCAATATAAAGCAAATGAATATATCCATAAAAGCAACTGTTGTTTGAGTTTATTATTAATGCTTATTGTTTGCATTTATTGCTTGTGTTTTAGCCTTGAAAGCCACCCAAAATTACATATATGAGATGGGTAGCTATATAAATCAAACCAAATCATTAAATGCATCTGTTTTGTCATTGGTTTGCATCCAATTCCTAGTGTGGTCAAGAGGACCCCTGCCTGAAACAAAAAACAAAACAAAACCCATCTCTCTTACAAACTGCCTTTCCTGGCAGACACCCCCCGCCGCCAATCTTATAACATTTTGTTGGAAGAAAAATCTGGTCCATTTCCAATCTGGGAGAAAAGCACTGGAAATAAAATGGAGGCTGACTGGCTGCAAGGAATTATTTATTTTGATTTATTTGGATTCCAGAAACTTCATTGACAGAAGCATATTTCTGGGGTGGCCGACCCCTTGGCTTAGAAATGGATGGATTTTTATAGGGTTTTGAGATGCTCCAGGGGGTTGTGCAATATAGCGAGCCTTGTGCCTTTTGCTATTCTAAAAGGTGGTGGGTAAATCCTATTATATCCTAAAGGTCATTTCCTGTTCTTAGAATTTAGGTGGGGGGTGTAAATTTTAAACCCAACAACTCCAACCTTCTCTGTGTTTTGTTTATGAATAAATTGGCCCAGTCTTCCTTAATGGGCACAAAATATCCCTCTCTAAAGACATGAAGCTTCTGCTGGAGGCTATTAAGAAAGATTGGGGCTGCTTTCTGCCTTTAAGAACATGTTTTCTCTGTTCCTCTTTTCTATTCTGCCTAGGGGTGGGCTTCAAAAATTTCAGCAATGGTTTCTCTGCCCGGTTGCTGGATGGGTGTGGCCATGGTGGGCGTGGCCTAGTAGGCCTCCTGCACTACAACAGGGGGCCTGTTTTCATCCTCCCCAGGCTCTGGAGGGCAAAAATGACCTCCCTGGGCTCCAGAGACCCTCCGGAGGCAGGAAACGGGCTCATTTCTGGCCTTCCAGAACTTCCAGGAGGCCCGTTTTTTGCCCTCCCCAAGCCTCCACGTGGGCTCTGCACTTACCTGACATCCAAAATGGGCCACGTGGAGACTCCTGGGGAGGGGGGGAGGGGCCAGCCACAGATGGGATTTGGCGGTTTTCCGAATTGGCTACAGGTTTCTGCCGAACCCGGGTGAACCCGTAGCAGCTCATCCCTGATTCTGCCTCTTTTAATATTAAGAATAAATAATATTGTAATCTGGGGAGGAGAGGCTTCCTACAATCTCCACCAAGGTGCCTTTATAAAAGATGCAGGCAGGTGGCCCAGCCACCTCAGAGTGTGTCACCCTGAGGACTCTCTTAATGAGTCAAATGCCCAGGGAGTCTCGTAAGAGCATGTGGGAAGGGCAGGGATGGAGGTCTGGCCCCAGCTGACTCCTTACCATGCTTAACAATAAAAGTTGCATAGAACCAAGACGGGCGGCAAATACATCTAATAAATAAACAGTAAAGATGACTCTGCAATGATCTAGCGACAAAGGAAGGCAGTCGCTGCTTTGTGGTGCAGTGACTCATCATTAATTACGCAGCCACATTTTCCCAAGCATTGCCAAAACATTAAAAAAATAAGCATCCATTCACACTTTGTACCATGTGGCTTATTGGTTTGGGCTTGGGTATTGTGGGAGCCCAACCATTTATTGAACACATAAATGAAAAGTTAATGAAAAAGTAGTACCGTTCTTGTTATGAGGGATTGGATTCAAGAGATATGTTTTTCAAAGGGCATTTTTATCTACTAGGTACTTCTTTCTGTGACACAGCTGTTATGATTTCCTCTATTATTAGAGAATTGTTATTTTTTTTTATTTTACGTTACCCCTTTGGGTAGATTTAGATATCTCTCTGACATTTGATTGATATGTGACAAAACTAGATAACTTCTACCTTTTCTGGTTTTATTTGTGTTTTGTTTTATAGTTTCTCGTGTACTTCCTTTCCACTTTTTGGTATTTTTTTCCTATTTCTTTCTGCTAAACTCGTTAAGATAAAACATAATGAATAACCCAGGCTAAAGCAAGTCATGGCTTTGTACAATGGGTCTCTACCAATGCTTTACAAATAGATAGGTCCCAGTGTTAGTATCAAAAGGCAGCTATTCTTCCTTTCTTTTAGGTGTGTACTGTAGGAAGAAAAATCTGGTCTACTTCCAAGCCAGGAGAAAGGCACTGGAAACAAAATGGAGGCTGACTGCAAGGAAAGGTTTATTTGGTTCCCAGAAACTTCAGTGACAGCAGCATGTTTCTGGGGTGGCTGACAAAATGACTAAGCACATGGATGCATCTTTATAGGGTTCTGGGTTTTGTGTTTGAGATGCTCCAGGGGGTTGTGCAATGTACTGGGGCTTTGTGTCTTTTACTATTTCAGTGGCGGAGGGTTAATCCTATTATGTCCTAAAGGTCATGTCCTGTTCTTAGAATTTGGGTGGGGGAATGCAAATTCTTAATCCCATCAGCTCCAGCCTTCTGCAGGAGCTGTGGCTGAAGGTATTTTGTTTGTGAATAGTTTGGCTCAGTCTTTCTTAATGGATACAAAAGATCTCTAAAGACTTGAGACTTCTGCTTGAGGCTTTCTGTATTTAAGAGCATGCTTCTCCATTTCTCCTTTTGGGAAATATAATATTCTGGCCTCTTTTTAACATTAAGAATTAAGAATATTTTAATCGGGGAGGGGGGATTCCTTCCTACAGTACTAAGAAAAAAAGAAGGAAGAAACAGTGGAAAAAAACAAAGAAACAAACATCAGCATCATCGAGAACCCCACCATGTTTGAGGCAGTACAAGCACCCAAGACCTTGATGATTTCAACTGCAGCCATGTTTAATTTTCAGGCCTTCTTATCCCATGCCTTAGTCACAAGAATTTGCAAGCAGCTACTTCAGGTTATTGCTCTCTTCCCTGTTCTCAAGTTTAGAGTTTCTAAATATAGCCAAAACAGGACAGACTTTCAACAGAGCCGCCTCCTTGCTCCTCAGATGTGCTAACTTGCCTTCAGCGTGTGTCCTTGTTTTTCAACTCACCTTCCCCAAAAAATCATTCCTGCTGACAAGATCCCAATCCCAGACTTCAACAATACACAGCTTTTCTGTGGCTGACTCATTCAAGTCAAACTCAAAGGTCTCGTTCCATCTGGGGTAGCAAGACTTTTTGATCACCTGAAGAAAGAAATAGGAAGACAACTCCATTGTATAGGTCAGTGGTGGCTAACCTTTTTGGGCTCCTGTGCACCCCACCCCCCACCCCCTGCGCATGCGTGCGCAATCCTCCCCCCACCGCCCCTTTACATGCACTGTGCATGCGCGCGCCTCCCAGTTGATTTTCGGGGCTTTTTCAGCCTCCCAGAGGCTGGAGGGAAGCCTCTGCAGCATTTGTAGGCTGAAAAATGGGCCCATTTCATCACTTCCGGTATTTCCGGAAATACAGGAAATGACAAAATGGACCTGTTTTTCGGCCTATAAAGGCTCAGAGGTTTCCTCCTCTGGGAGGCCGAAAAAGGCCCGAAAATCAGCTGGGAGGCGCATGCATGCGCAGTGAGGTAAAGGGGCGTAAAGGGGTAAAGGCCTGGGGCTTACACGCCCGCACAAATGGATCTGCGTGCCACCTGTGGCATGCATGCCATAGGTTCGCCATCACGGGTATAGGTAATCTTCAACTTACAGACACAATTGAACTCAACATTTCTGTTGCTAACCAAGGCGATTGGGTGAGTTTTGCCCCATTTTTATGATTTTTCTTGCCAAAGTTGTTAAATGAATCTCTTACAAGTTGTTTAGAAAGTTAGCAACACTGTTGTGAAGTAAATCTGGCTTCTTCCATTGACTTTGCTAGTCAGAGGGTCGCCAAAGCAGATCACATGACCTTGGGACCCTGCAACCGTCATAAATATGAGTCAGCACCTGAATTTTGATCACGTGATGCTGCAACGGTCATAAGTGTGAAAAACGGGCCTAGCATAACACAGCACTTTTTGCATGTTGTTGTTGCTGGGTTTTTTTTTAAAAAAACTTTTTGCACTTTGTTTTTTACTGAATTTTTAAGTTGTCTTGAATCTTTCCAACTATCAGTCTTATAGATCTAAATAAAATAAATCTGTGGAAAAAAGGGAGGTCATAAAATCAGGCATGACTCACTTAACAATTGCCTTGTTTAGCAACAGAAATTCCGGTCCCAATTGTTATCATAAGTCAAGCACTGTCTGTAGAATATGGGGCAGTAATAAATTGTGAACTAAATTGTAATAAGTTGAATAGACAAAAGTAACCAATTTCAATTTCAAAAACCGGTGTAGTCCCGTCTTCTTCTTCTTCTCCCCACAACTTCAACTCACTGAAGTCTCCTGGATTTTGCCGTTATAGCGGACTCTGACAAAAGGATCAGAAGCTCCATTCCGATCTTTCCGAGCTAAATCCCTTGAAAGAAAGAGAAGGAAGGTTAACAGATGCTGACGGTGCCATTTGCATAAATATAAGAAAAAAAACAAGACACGTTCAACTCCCCAAAAAACTAAAGTCTACCCTACGCTTTTGGCATACCCTTGAATACAAGCTGGAAATTGTGTCCAATTCTGGGACAATGCCTGCAGTTTTCTTGGCAAGATTTTTCAGAAGTGGTTTGCCTTGGCCACATTCCTAGGGCTGGGAGAAAGCTGGCTTTGTTCCTAAGGCAGGACTAGAACTCCCAGTCTCCTGGTTTCTAATCTGATGCCTTAAGCACTACAGCAAATTAGCTATGTCAACCCTACAGTACCCATGTACCATCTTTTTCGGAGTGTAAGATGCATTTTCCACCCCCAAAAGTGGATGGAAATGTCTGTGCGTCTTACACACCGAATGTTGCCCACCCGCCGGCCCCCCCCCTTTCCCCCCCCCCTCGCCCTTGCCTCCCAGCTATTTGCCTCCTTGCAGCAAACAGCAAACAGCCTGTTTCAGCTTCAGCACAGCCTGATAAGTACAAAGCAACTGATTGGAATTGCCTCCCGACGATCAGCTGTTTCAGGCTGCAGAGATTGCCATTGCCTCTTGCCGTCTCCGTGCATCCCATTTTTGGCCTCCGCGTGCCCTGTTTTCGGGCCTCCATGCACCCCATTTTCTGCCCATTCTGATCCCCGCCGCCCAGAACGGGCCAAAAATGGGGCACATGGAGGCCGAAAACGGGGCGTGCAGAGGCTGAAAATGGTGCGCGGATGGCAATCCCTGCAGCCTGAAACAGCTGGTCGTCGGGAGGCAATTCCAATCGACAATCAGCTGCTTGTGCTAATCAGGCTGTGCTGAAGCTGAAACAGCCTGTTTGCTGCAAGGAGGCAAATTGCTGGGAGGCAGAGGCAGATTTTGTTAAGTCGCGGGAAAGATCGACTCGAGACCAGTGTGACTTTCAGCTCTTTTATTAGTCTCTTGCAAAACTCAACAAACCGGAGCTGCGGCAGCCTCTTTTATAGCGGCGGCTCGCGGCCAATGACGGCTCCTTGAATTTTCCCGCCGTCAGACGGACCAATCAAAAGATAGTATTACAAGTATTCAAATGTACAGGATGGACCAATCAAAGGTTGTATTGACGGACCAATCAAAAGGCAGTATTGACGGACCAATCACAAGGCAGTATTTCAAGTATGCAAATATATAACAGATTTTTTCCCCTTTTTGTTTTCCTCCCCAAAAGTTAGGTGCGTCTTATACTCCGAAAAATACTGTATTACTGCAGCTTTATAAATCCTTACTTAAGACCGCACCTGGACTACTACATCCAGTTTTAGTCACCACATTACAAAAAAGATGTTGAGACCTACAGAGAAGAGTAACTAAGATGATTAAAGACCTGGAGACTCAAACACATGAAGAACGGTTGCAGGGTTTGGGTTTGGCTAGTCTAGAGAAAAGAAGGACTGGGGGGGGGGGG